CTTGTTCCAGAATTCAACCGGGTTAATAGAAAGAAACTAAAATCACATACTTGTCTTTGCCTGGGTTTACGTTTACCATTTGAGTCTCAGTTGCCCAATCAAATGGATCTAATATCAGATGATGAAATACAATTTAGGAAATAAAAAGAAGTTATGTAACAAAACTCACACAACCCTTGAGCGAAGGCGGGAATTATGCAATCAGCTTTTTCCCATGAATCGTTGATTAAAAATATCATTTAGGAAGTGAATTGGGCTTCGACATTGTTTCAGTCAAATAACATGCGCTATTAGCAACGAGTAGTAACAAGAATAGAAATTCACAGTAATATACTCGATACATCATGGACGTTTGAACCCACAGACTAGACATTCTTAAAATATCGTAATAGGAGGCTTGTTTATCAGAATTTGGTTTACTTCGTGTTCGAAGCTGGAGTCGGGAAAGAGGGTCAAAAATTTGGCTAAGCCGGAGTCGGCGGTCGTTTTTTAATTGGCTTGGACTTTGCAGTTGTGAATTTTATCTTCCACAGTCCCACAGTCATGATTTCTGGCATAAGAATAGTAATTTGCACTGGGCAAATTTTGTCTTCTGGCGACAGTATTTCAAGTTATCATCACTTTTTACTCCTGCTTTTCTTTCGCTTTCAACCATCGAAGTAACGTTGCGAATGACAAAGGAACGACGTATAAGACACAGGTCAAGGAACAAGTAACGCCAAGACACTCAAAAATAGTCTCAATAATATCAAAAATCAAGCAACACATTAGGTCTTATTATTATTATATTACCGGTAATAGATTTGCTTGGCTATGATATAAAATATTCCATGATGCAAGAATGTATATAGACTATAAAATCATTTGTCACTAGTCATTTTGATATAATATTAATGCCCGATATAACACTACATCTGTAGTTTTTGTTCTCAGAAGTTATGGTTCGAACCTCGAATGTATGAGTTATTCTTTTTAATTAATAAAACTTGTTCAAAGTTTGTTAGAATACAAAGGCATGGAAAAATGTTTAAATTTTAATTTGAAAAAAAAAAGAGTTTTGTCGTCATAAGATAGGATGGGACTGAAGCGCAGATGATATTTCACAAGGACCAAATTTCCATTAACTTCATATTTATACCGTTCGTTAACAAAACTGCTCATCCTAGATATGTGTAGTAGGATTTATGTCAAAATCATCAGCGTTCCTCGGATTGTTAACCAATTTCAATCCGTCGTACTCAGTGATATGAATATAGAACTCGTTTCTCTTAAATCCCAATACATATTCCTTATGTCGCAAAAGATTCTTTCCCTGACTATCGTCATAAATTAAATCGTAAAGTTTTGATTTCCAGCTGTCTGTAGTAAGACGTAGTCTTTTACGATGGTTATGAGTCAGATAATATAATTTGCTTTCTTTTTCTGTTGCTAGAAGAAAAGCATTTGTATTGGAATTAGTGATCTTCTGCCATGTCTGTGGTACGTGTAAGGTTCTCATGTGCACACGTTCTCCCTCGTCGCTTGTGAGCCACCTTCCAGTAGAACTTGTGTGTACTGTAACATGTTGATAAATCCATTCATTTCCCGCGTGCCTTGTATCGGTTTGCCGTCGGAAGAAACATAACGTGTCCATCATTTTTACTAATATTTTTCTTTATCATTCTAGTCATACACAGAACAGATAAACATAAGAGATCCGCGTGTCATATCAATTTGATACATACAGTTTTCTAGTTCCGCTATGGTAAGGAGTTACTTGCCAAAACTATGTAGATTTATTTTAAATGCAAAATCTGTTTCACGGAGTTTTACTGTCAACACACATTCTTACTTTCAAAAGTGCGCTGAATATTCTTGTTTTCCTTTCGAGATAATGAAAAAAATCCTGCAACCTCAAAGGTTCTGGATCAAAAGTTAATTCCAATATATAAAACCGTCGTCAGCGACCTTTATAACACAAGAACCATGATCCTCATTGTGGGAATTCCCTTTGGGACATATGAAGGCGATACGTAATAGACGTACAAAACGAAATTATTTTGGGAGGGCAACCATTTTAAAAGATTGGCTTATCAAATATTTGGAATTATCTTGCGGATTAAATAATGTATATATTGGAGAGCATCCGTTTTATTTCTTGCCGACGCCTAAACCTCACAAAATAACAGCTACCTAATTCAAATACTACATAGATTTCTACTATTAAAAATATCCAAGACGTACTTTGGTAAACTGTCAAGCAAATAATGTGATACTGAATATTAGAAGCCTCGCAAAAATAAACCCTGCTAGTTCAAAACATTTTTGTCATACAGTAGACGGTTGCTAATTTCCAGCTATTCATCTATTAGTTACTGTCTTGTGTAGATTATCATGATCATCAGAACCAATGATTGTTGGTGGGACGAATCTTCAGTTAAATACCGCAGTAATACTTCGGTTCAGTATTTGGAAATTGAAATATTTTCAGTGTTTTGATATACTCGGATGATTTACATCATATTGATTATTTATAGCGATAAAATTGGCTGGAATTCAAATATATATGTCCTGCAAATATAGTAGAATTGTACTAATAACAAACTGAAGAACTAGCTAACGAACTAACATATAACATCAACTTACAGTAAAAAATGCAATCCATTTTCGCACGCCATTCGAAGCATATATATATATATATTTATATAGGAGTTTTACACATACCCTAACTGATACTAATATTGCTTTACGAAGAAATAATGAAAATTATAAACAATAATATGCAATTCAGTGTCAGAAAACCCTATAGCCGTTGACTTAAATTACTTCCAATAATAAGATCATTATTTGAAACTCGATGATAATATATTCTGGGGGGCCTTGAAATGGAAAATTCCATCACCGTTGTATTAGCAATATTGGTCAAAGTAACTATTGCCAACACCCTAATAAAATCTACTATAACTCGCACTCCGGCTGTTTAGCAAAGGTATAAATCCGAGCGTCTGTGATAAATATGTCATATATTTATAAAGGAAATTTCTACGGAAAGTATCAACTTGCAAGTGGCCTTGCATTTTTGAGTCACATGAACTGAGTGGCCTACACAGTGGACAAACTAATTTTATATTATTTTTTGACCGCGGCCGAGCCATGGCGGAAAGTTGACATTATGATGCTACATTCGGCTATCTGCCTAGTTTACACAAAAATCTCGTTCACTATCTCACTTTTAGACATCGTTTTATTACCCAGGACATTTAAACCTTGTTGACTTTTACAAAGACGAGCGAAAATATTCAGAGGAATTATTCGAACACCGAAGCGCGAAAATTTCTTGAAAGATAATTCACGGAGGAATGCTTTGCACACTTTTGGACTGTGACATCTTATCTAAAACGTCACCAAAAGCCTAAGACCATTTAAGCTATTTGTAAAATACGGGAAACATCTCATTCTAGTAAACAAAACCCAAAACAAGTCAAATTTTGCTTGTTATTATCGCGCAGCCAATGAAATGAACTCATTTTTAAAACTAATCAAACTATCACTAATCAATTGAGAATACTCCCTTAGCCTCGCACTGACAAGACATCTAACGTTAGCTGCAGAGATTTTCAACCTTTCGGAACACTTCATATATATATATCATAAATGAATGCGGAACACCGGATGAAAATTTCATGTTTTCTCGAAATAATCAATCCAATTAACTAATAATCATTTCAATTCTTATCCGTTTTAGCATAGAAAAGAAATAGCGAAGGGACCAATAGCTCGTCGATTCAAGTTGGAAAAAAGACCCAGGGCTCTAGTCTAAGAGTACCAAGAATCCAAGGCTACAAAGAGTACATTAAATCACACATGTACAAACATATTACAAATGTTCTATTATGCCAGAGATTGAAAAAAACACAAATGGGCTATCTTCTTCAACAGTAATTACGTTCTCAAGTTTTTGAGTGTCTGTTTTTCTTTTCAAATATCTATCCATCCTGACTAGAGTAATTGATATAACTTAACGTTGGCTAACTTATTCCATACACGACATGGACTGGAAACCGGATGAGAGGCCGTGGTTCGTCATATAATTAAGTCATATAATTATCGGCTTTTTTCTCCCCCTGGATAAATATGTAAATCATATCCTATCCTAACGTCAATTGCCTACTACTGAAATATCTCAATGGTGAACCTAATTTCTGTTATGATGTCATAAAACCTAAAGGATATTCTGGTGTTCAGAGTTCGCACAAATGATTCTAATTATCACGCAACTGGCTCATCCTAATTAAAACAAAATAAAATACGTATCCTCGATTTCTAGTTTGTATTATTTAATATCCTAAAAAAGGCCATTCAAAAAAATCGAAACTACAATTAAATGCAAAAATCGCGGAACAGTGGTTGAAAATGACATCGGTGGGTACCCGAGCAAACGGGGTTTTTCTATAATCCTTGTTACGTCACAAACTTTGAAATGGATTTTTCCAGGCAGTGTATTCGCATTGATAGCTCTGCTTTTAGGGTATCGACTGATTCTATGCGTATTTGCTCTCGTGATTACTCACATATCACAACATAGCTATTTTATAATACCATACATTAATGCGTGATGCGTAAACGATGTTATCGCATATAAAAAAGAACTTGAGGAACTGAAAAACACGTTTTCCAACTAAAACTAAACTTGTTTCGCATAATTTTGAAAGCATATTATTATCAATAAATTCTCTTTTTGTAAACTCTTCGTCATTTATATTAGTTTTGTTGAAAATTTACGAGAAATACAGTTAATACAGAAAATCATGATATTTTATAAATTGAATCAAAATTAGAGATTTTCTGATCATTCTGAATTAGAAATATGTGATTAAAATATGTTTATGATAAAATCTGCAAATTAGGTGAAAAAAAAAGATATCCGAGAAGTCTGAACATTGCCCCTTTCAGCCATTGTATGTAATTTATCCGCATAGGATCCAACTGCACTTATTTTGATACATAAATAGCATCGGCAGAGTTTTGTTGATAAATATTCTCGCGAATTACCGAAGTGGTTAGAGCGCTTGCAGGCTCAATCTGCATTGTACTTTGTCTATTTCGGAATCAAAATGGATGATTACGACGAGGATTTAAGTGAAAACCCTTGGTATTTAGCATTTGTTCATAATCATGACAAACTATTTCTTCAAGCTACTAATGGAAGATGGATTGTAAGTGTTTAGCTTCTAAATTTTTCTATTCAGATATTCAGGATATTGCAGTATTGATAATTTTAATGCTGGTGCCAGCGTAATATTGAACATATACTGATATACGATACCAGTAACATATTGAACTTGCTTATTGTTTTTTTAAGTTCAGGAGATACAATATTTTTCTGGTCTTGTGTAGTTTCGTACCTCTGTACCTCAAGTAATGGGCATAGCATAACGATTTTTGCACAAATGTCAATCCTAACCCCCACCTGACTATGCCATCCCATACGTCACTACGATGTCACAATCTCGTCATACAGCTTGTCAAAATATACCCACAATCGCCAGAAATGGCATCTTCGCTGACGATGAAAAGCTCACTAATGCACAGTAATGGCTGTGATCTCTCTAATATCGAAATTGCTCCAACGAGAAAACGACAGAAATAGCTTGCTCCATTTCGGGTAATTGTCTGCGCGTCTTGGATGATAGTTCGTAATGCTGTAATGTTTGGGGCCTTATCACGTCACTGTCCAGTCTGGATTTCATGGCCTTTTTGAATGAGAAATTGGGCGTGCATTCAGAAATTCTTGCGTGCAAATCAGAATTCCCGGTGTGCAATTATAGCTAACGGCGTGCAAAACGACTGCGCCCGCGTGCAACTGACTTTGACTTTAGATGCTATGCTGTTCAATACATCCTCGTAAAATTATTGGATAAAAAATTGTTGAATCAGAGCAAAAATGGATGTTTGACCAGGGTTGCCATATTGGCTTTTTTAACGCCAAATTTGCCATTTTTGGCTTTTTTCAAACGCGTTTGGCGTCAGAGTTTCCGTTTGGCTTTTTGGCGTATTTTTGGCTTTTTTCAAGTCTATTCTAGTGTCTATTATTAAAATCATATGAAATACAATATTTAGTGTGTAACAACTGAACAATAGCCTATAACCTGTACTTAGCTACTTAACATCAGGCTTTCCTGGAGCATCGATTCCCGTGTTTGTTACATTAACTCTTAACCATACCCAAAAAGAAATAATTGCAGTTTCTGCTATAGTTTTGCGTGTTATTTGTCAGTTTTTGGCTCTGTTTCCAAAAAGTAATTGTATAACTCGATTTTCATTATGCCTGATATGATTTATGTGAGCTCTAGTTTAATTCTGTAATTGCAGTAATCAAAATTTAGTCTCACGAACGATGTGGTTAACTAAGCTAAAATTACTGAATTGGATATCAGTGGTCCACCTGTGAGCGGCACGGGGTTAGATAATTTTTTAATAAAATTGATGATTTATAAATTTAAAAAGTGAAATTTTTTCTATAGTAAGATACAATATAGGGAGAATTTTTTAAGGTATATTACAAGTTTAAGTAGAAACATGTAGGTATATTACATGCTGAAGCGGCACCCTGTCTTGTATATATTGAATGGTAAAATAATTCTGTCCACTTATATTTATTCCACCTTCTACAGTTCTATAGGAACTTTACTTTCTATTTGTGTGCCTCACTGAATGACATGATGGCTTTACGTCTTCATCATCATCAGTACGTTGCCAAGGGCTTAAAATCTGACTAATCATGGGGCTTTTGAACTTGGTAAAATTGTTGGCTTTTTTGTGTCTTGATTTGGCTTTTTTCGATCGCTGGGATCTGGCAACCCTGTGTTTGACCTATGACCCCCAACATTATTTTTATACTTTTTAACTTTGGGAGTGTTTTTGCGTAAAACTGTCGGAGGAAAAAATGCGCTGAATCGGAGCCTTAACTTACCAGCGCCAGCAAGGAGTCTGGCGATCTTTTCGCTCATAACTATTCTCACAGGATCCCTAGCATTCAACACGATGCGCCTTACCGCCAAGCAATTAGGAAATATGGTCTTTTTTGCTTCGCATTTTTCGATCAGGCCAAATTTTGCAAGCTAGTATGTAGTTGCCAGTTGTGGAGCTGCAATTTGTTGACATCTTTATATTACTGTATCATTGATTTTAAAAACCATTTGAATCGATTTTCATTGGTGAGCAATTGCAAATTTTCGGCGTGCAAAATTGAATTTCCTCTCGTGCATTTTTGCGGAGCGCTAGCGATCTCGGGCGTGCACCTGCTATGGAATCCAGTCTGGGTCACTGTGACGTTGTGGTGATGTAATTTTTGGATGACACAGTCAGGTGGGGGTTAGGATTGACATATCCTATGTAAAAATTGTTATGCTACGCCCACTAGGAGTACTTGAGGTACGAAACTACACTAGACCCAATTTTTTTTGTATACGGTAACGATGATCAGTGTCTGGCAGTGTTTTTTTTATTGATTCTGTCTTGGCATTGTTTAAACGGGCTACTTTTCGTTTGCATGGAATCCTTCTATCAATAAATATTGTTATAGGCTCCCCAAATCAAACAGAATTAAGTCCATATGTAGCCGCTCTATAATATATGTATTTTTTAGGTTTGTATCCCGCGATCTGGGTCGTGGAAAGGTGGCTCAGAAGCTCCTAAAACTTTCAGTTCATCCTATTTCGAATCTCATTGTATAAAGTTTGACTGTGAAGAAGTCTCTCAACAATCAAAGAAAGAAGATGATATTGCACCATCACCTGCCGTAAAACACATCAACAAATATCTTACTTATAATGGAAAGGTAGATATAGTATTAGGTAACAGCCAAGAAGTCACTGGGATACTAGAAAGTCTGCATTCAAACTTGTAAAATCGAGAAGGTTTGCACTAGCTCACATGGTTCTATCTATAAATCTAGATGAAATCTTCATTTTTCATGTCTAATTTTGTTTCTCCTTTTTAAGTTTACTTTTTAGAATAACCGGCAATATGTCACCAGGTTGTGCTGAATTGAGAACTGATGTACCATTCAAAATATCATATTTCTTCAATAATTCATATTCATTGTGCATAAAGATATTTTGTTATGTTTAAAGTGCATACCTTGACTTCAAATGACATTCCTTTAGGCACAGTCATAATTGTCTTTGCTCTTTGGCTACTTTGTCTTACAAACATATTTGATAAAAAATTTGTTGATTTGAAAATTAAAATTATTTATGCTGTAAAAACAGAGACAATTGTTTGATTTTGTCAACCCATGTTTAATAAAGGTAAAGTTAGAAGAATTTGTAAGCAAATTAGAACCATTCGCATGAGGAGTTTAATTAGAAACTAAAATTATTTACAGACAATTCTGGTTGAGGGGTCAAAGATGTCCTGTGGCTTGGGTTTTGAAGAAGTCGCTACATCTTTTGATAGTAGAAGTGAAAAACTGGATCTTCCAGGTAGTGGACTCAAACATACAGCAAGAATATTATTTGAAGAAACTTATTTCAATGCAAACGATCAAAGTTACAAAATGTTATGTGTTTCACGCCCTCTCGAACTTCACCTTGTCTCTGGTCAAGAATTTGGTAAGTTTACTCTGTATACAATCTTTTAATAATGTTCCGTATATGTAATATGGGTGTTATGTTTAATAGGCAATTTTGCACAGGTGGTTTTATGTTCATAAAAGGTTTTATATAGGTGTTATCAGTTTAAGAAGCTTGTTTTCTATATAAATGCCAGATTTCGAATGCTTGGAATAACAGTTTCGCATATATATATATATATTTATTTCTAATAATTTTTAGGATCATAAATTACATTTATCATAATAGGTCTATCTAATTTGGATGCTCAAATTGTTTTGGACGTCTCTGGATGAATTGGTATCCTACTCCATTGTTTATTTGATAATTTAAGCTTCTTATGTTAATTTATCATGGTTTGGGCAATTGTGTTTAAATGTATGCAAGTCTAAATTATTTAATGCTTTAAATCAGCGGTTTTCAAAGGGAGCGATTTGCTAAGTGTTCCCCCGAAAATTAACAGAATAGTGTTAACATAACTAATATATGATTGAATATTACATATTGTAGGCCCATTTATTATAAGCGTTTTATTGTATTCATTTCACTTTTCTATGTCGTTTACATTCTGTTGCATAGTGTCTTCCTCTGTTGTTACCTAACTGTTATGTAACAATAGAGTTTTATTTATATGCTGAACCGAGTTTAGCGAACATGAGTGTTTTTTTCTATACTTCAAAGGAAAATCATGCAGAGGTGACGAAGAAGACTTGACCCTTGACCATTTATCTTTAGGCCTACATATTTACAAAGTTTAAAGTACACATCGACGATACAAAATTGAGTTTTATTTATAAACTTGTCGTGTAAGTGCGGCGTGATTTTTTTCCCTGATAATTTGGGAACCGAGGCTTTAAATACTAATCCAAAGCGATAATAATTTTCTTTTTATAAGAAATAGGTACACAAAAAAGTTTTAATGCATTACCAGTTGTGAAAACAATATGTTGTTCATTCTTTGTTTATATATTTGTGTTACATATATTTAAAAGGTGAGGAAGAAAGTCCGCTATCACCAATTGCTGGCGGTTTTAAATTTAGTTCGGAAAAATTGCGAGGCCAACAATTATGGCGACGTGCAAACAACAGTCAGAAGTTGAAAAACAATGTGGATTCGAAAATTTCTGCTTATTTAAAAAGTCATGGATCAGGAAAAACTATTTATACTACGACATTACCATCTGCGAATAGTTCGCAATCAAGCAATATTGATGGAATATCTGGTATTGATGTGTGTGTGGTGAGTATGGATGTCTAAACCATATAGTTCTTACGAAATTCAGTTAATTTTAATTTAGTTTATTCATAAATACTTTTTTTTCCCACATTTTCCATTTTTACCATGAAAGTATAATTTGTATTAAATTTTCAGAAATTAATTCGACAGGTATCATTTTTCTTTAAATTTTTTTTTTTTTAAATTGTCTACACAGTATTTACTATGGAATCTTGATTTATGTTAAATTTTCGGATATTAAATTGGCCTTTATCATGACATCACTGCAAAATTAAAATTTTCCAATAATAAGATGATTGAAAGAAAAAATTCTAGAATAGCAACTTTCAATAAGATATACTGTTATCTCTGAAAACTTTCTTGGAACATGAAAATATTTACATTGAATGTTTTATCGAGTGTTGTTTGGTTAGTTGTTACAGGTACAAGTTATTGATTGCTGCAGGTGTAAATGCGTAATGTGCATGTCTGATGCTACCTCATATCACATGACTAATTATGAAATTACAAAACATCAAATTTTGTGAACATCTTTGATTGATATGAAACCGATCTATTTGTGATGTAATGCAATACTTGTTCTTTATTTTGAGTAACAAGGATTTTCAAATATGAAAATAATTAAATTTTTCTGTTTTCATATAGATAGATTCACATTGTTTTAAATTTCCTAAAATTTCTCGTTATTTTTATTAAGAATTGGAACTAATTCATTACATTCTCAAGCCTGAATATATACCCCTAATGATTAATAAATATTATTTTTAAACCTATTATTAACAATTCATTTTGCTCTCGATGTCTTGTTAAGAGTATGTTATGCCTGTTTTACATTGGTTTTCAGATTATTTCACTGAACTTTTTTAATAGATTATATTTCGTGAACCAATAAGTTTATTTAAAAATGACCTCATTGTACTTAATTATTAATTTTCAGACTTCGGTTCAGGATTTGTATAATATGTGTCTTCAAATTGTTGTGAAAGATTCAAAAATTGTGAGTACTGTTATATACTGCATATACGATATATAATAATTATAGCAGTATTTATTAAATTGTGTTTCAATTTATATTTTAGAAAAAAGAAGTTGAAAATAATTTAGCTGATACAACGAAAGTTCAAGTTGAGGTATGACATGAATCTAATAATTTTATTTTTGAAAAAATATTTGTCTGAATTGCCTCATTATGCGTCAAATTTTTGATATATGCTAAGTTGCTAACAATTTACCTTATAATATGTCTACCCCGTAGTATGTGTGTCAGGTTAGGGTTGGGCCATAATTTTATTCTGATTTTTGCTATTTTAGTTCTATTACGAGTTCGGGACTGTCTGTGTTAGCCTAATGAATATACTCCCTGGCCATAGGTTTCACACCCTTCACACAAATTGATGTGAAGTAGGCGAACAAAATTAGTTACCTTCATATTAGTAGTTAGTACACATACTTCTGGAGCGCCAAAATATGATATAAATGTGTCTGAGATAATAATGAAAGAATATTCTGTAAGTAGTTTTGATTTTGACTGCTATGATTTTGGTAATATGATTTATCAAAATGCTTAAATATCAAATGTTCGAATTGTTTTGAGATAAGTTGAATTCAATATTATATATTTTCAGTTTAGGGAATTCTTTAGAATAGTTTTATCTGATAATTTGTTTTTTTGCTCAGTTGACAACTAACTGTACAAAAAATAACTTCATTAAACACTGAATATGGAACCAATCAAAACAACACTCATCGCAACTATTTTGGCATTATTTTTATCGGCTGTTTCAATTCTGTCAATACACAATGATGTTCAAATTTCTCTATTGAATGTAATCCATTTTAGTATACACCCAAAAATATTAGATTATTCAACTTTAGCAGTGTCCCTTATAATAACACATTGAGGCTTATAATGAAATTTTGTCTTTTGAACAGAATTATGTTCTACAAGAGATTTATAAGAGTGTTTTCCGACAAATCAGTTGCGTAGTTCCTGTTCAGGTGTGTAAATATATTATTTGTTTGTGATGACGTTTCTGTGCCATATTTTACATGCGATGTCTGTTTATTGAGCGTTATTTATCACCTGACTATTAATTATGAATGTGCTTATTCAAATATTTTCACATTCTAAAATACATCCACACTGTTTTTATGAGTAACAGCATAACTTGTTTAAATATGTTGAGTGAATAACTGTTTTGGGGTTGTAATTTGGGAATAAATAACCACTACATTGGTTATTCGTTTTCAGATGTTTAATAACAGTAGTTGATTGTTAGTGTCACCCAAGGTATTCCTTTTTGGTACTCCATTTTCAAATGTACCTTCATCTATTAAAAATTGATTCCCATAACAGTTGTTTTAGAAACGGCTATCAAGTGCCATTCAACAAATGCAAAGTCTGCTGAAAAAATATAAGCAAATTTATATTTTGGGATAGTAGCCTAACACTTCAAATTTACGATATTTACAATAAAGTTTGTCTCCTAAATTATATTTGGCAGCTTTAGAAGTGTTTTGGTCAAATTTTTTATGGACTGGTATTATGAATTACTGTGGATTTTGGTGGTTCGTTTACCTCTAGTTAAGAACTCATGTTGGTTGAAACAGTAATATGTTTTTTATGCAGAAAGATAATATTATATGTTTTCTGATAATTCAAATATCTATGCAAATTAAAACTTTATTGCATCAGCCATCAGGTAATAAAACTCCAATAACGACAAGGTGCTAAAAATAGATTTTAAGAACTGGGTTGTGAACCCCTTCACCAGTCACCACCTTTAATTACATGAGCTAAATGATATTACAGATACAATGAAATAAGCATAAAAATAGCTTGTCCAAACTGTTGTGTGATATGGAAATTGATTTTAATTATTTTCAGTTTTTTTTTGGATAATTGATATTTTTCTGCTTTCAGGAGGCCGCTTTCAACAAAATGATTTGTAACTTGTTTGATATTCAACCATTAGATTTGGAAATCGACAAAAAATATTGGTTGGTATTTATTCACTTCAGTACACATTATGTAGCTTCTAATTAACATCTAGTACCAGGTACCAGATGAAATGGGATGTGGCAATTTTTATTGTATCACCCATCAAGTTGTAACAATTAATGTAGTAAATGTATAATTTTAGGAAGAATTAGGGTTGCTCCCGAAGTATGCGAACCAAGATGGCGGACATCGGAACGTAATATGGGTAACAGGTTAGGGTTAGGCAATAATTTTTTTCCAATTTTCCTTATTTTAGTCCTATTATCAGTTCGAAGACTAGCCAAGAGCCTCCTGTAGTATATATACCTAAAATTATGGCCTAACCCTAACCTAGTACACATATTACATTCCGATGTCCGCCATCTTGGTTCGCATACTTCGGGAGCCCTGAATTAGGTATATTTTAATTTGCTTGATATTATATATTTGAATATATTTTATTTCATCTTGGTCAACCATACTGAATCACAGTCCTAGACTCACTGCTAATAGTAATGGGAGTGTGGTAGTAATTTTTTAACCGAATATGTCAACGGTGGGCAAATCGCGACTCGTGAGCCGTATGCGGCTCGCCGGAGTTTTCGTGCGGCAATAGGTATATATTGGCTCGCTGGCAATAAGTATATATTATCCAAATTTAACTAAGAGAAAGTGTAGCATAACAGTTACTTTTTTGATTCATTGAGCGGTTGAAGAATATATACTTTGCAATATTGTTATTATATGTTTGTGTAAAGTTCTTTTCAATTCACAGTATTTTATAATATTATTAATTTAAAAAAATTATGCGTCTCTCATGTATTTCTGACTTGCTGCATGCGGCTCTTATACTAAAAAATTTTGCCCACCCCTGAAATATGTGGTGTGGAGAAAGCTATCAAAAATTTGAAAATGACATTTTGTTTAATAACATACTCTTCAGGTAACAACTCTATTGCTTTTGACGTAATAAAACTTTAAAATAAGAATTCACTTCTTTTCTCATTGTATATCTTCATTTTTCGAGTGTTACAATCATTAATAACTTTGAATGTTATAGGTTGTCGTTACCTCGGTCAAGGAGGCAGTTGTCTCGAATTAACAAGTGTTGTACTCCTAATGATAAGCTGTCGTGTATTCAACACACTATATCCTGTATAACTGCAAAACAAGGTGAGAGGTTTGAAGAAATAGGAGCTCACAGTACGAATCAATAACATTTTAGATTAAGTCGGGTTTTACTGACAAGTCTTCAACTGTGTATAGAAATCAAGTATTTTCATGACTGAACAAAGCAGTAATATTTTATGGGTAAAATTGGTTATAACAAAAGATGTCCATCATGAATCGAATTTTAATTTGGAATATTTCATTATTATAACGGTATGGTGCATTCATAAATAAATTTTTGAAATTATATAAATTAGACATTCCATCAAATCGCTGTTTATCTTTACATTCCTGCATTATTAATTGAATATATATGAGGTGAGTACACATAGATTTGTACATGTTGTGTAATGAATGTTACTCAATTTGAAATATATAACCCATATTTGAAAATATTCTCTTATAATGTATTCGAATTAGTTTGCTATGCTTAAATATAACTAGTGTTTATATATTTTCAAAATTGCTAACAGAATTTGGTTTATTTTAGTATTGTTCTCATTAATTCCAATTTTTGGATTTGGCATAGATTATTAAATTCTAGAGTTATCAGCATTTCTAGTACAGTGGTGCTTCTGGATTGGTCTCTAGTCTAAGCAGAAGCCCTAAAATCTCTTAGTTGTGAGCATGCTAAGCTTAACCACGCTTATTATTAGCTAATCTTTCTACCCTTAATTTTCATTTGGTTTCAGAGAATGCAATCGTTGGTTCAGATGATTTGCTTCCCATCTTGATATATCTCATTATCAAATGTAATATTCCAAACTGGATAACGAACCTGATTTATCTTCAACATTTTCGATTCAATTCCACGCAATCTGAACAATTCAAGTGAGCTATTATGATAATTATTATTGAATTGAGCCTTAGTTTCTTTCAACTTCTAATCACATGTTGTATCATTCAACTGAGTTAGTAAGCTAGAAATTTTGTATTTGACCTATTTTCAAGATGAGGTTGTTTATAGTGTTTCGTAGGCTTCTTCCCAGATTCAATATTTACTTATAAGTATAGTTTTAGAGGCTAGATGGAATTTGAGCTAAGATTGGGTCGGGCCTGACATGTCAATCATTACGTTCGAGTCGGGTCGGGCCTGAAATATAAATCATTACGTTCGGGTCGGGCTTGAAATGTCAATCATTATGTTCGGGTCGGGTCGGGCTTCTCTATTGCTGACATTTTTTTTAATAAAAATATGTTTTTAAAAAATATACACTAAACTATGTGTGGATACTAATACTAAAAGATTCTTCCTATTCCTTCTTCCTACCATTGCAAAATTTTCGGGGCTTATTTTATTTTAAGAGTGGTTTCGAGTAAAATGGGGTATTTGTTTCAAACCATCATATGATTCATCGCATACAAGTGAAAGTGATACAACAATCTGTTTTTTGAAGGTACCGGTAAAGAATTTTAGCCTAGTCTATCACAGCTATTTCTACACTAATTTTTTATTATCGCAATTAAATTAAAACTCCTAGAAAGACGAAGTGATATTTGAATTATCTGATTTATATTTCCGAAACACAACCTGAAAACTAACGAATAGAGTTCAAAAACGCAAAAACGAGGTAATGTTTACGATCACGCCCGAAAATCTGTCTTGAGTTAGAAAAGTGTCTGCAAATCCAGTTAATTAGTTGGGCTCGGGTCGGGCCTGCAAATCCAGTTAATTAGTCGGGGTCGGGTTTATTACCCACAGCCCCGGGTCGGGTCGGGCTAGAATTTTTGGGCCTGATCTTACCCCTAGTTGGAGTTAGTAGCATTAGCTGCTTGGATGCTAATGAGTATAGCTTGAGGGATTTCAATGTTATATTTTATATGATGCTTTCAACTGTTCAGCATGACCCAACCAATCTATTATGTCTCAGATGAGAAAGTGGGCATAGAATTTAGTATCAATATAACTGTGATTCCAATATTTAGCAACATAGTAAAAGCAAGGTTCAACCACTAGGCTAGATAATTATGTTAATTGATATATTTATAGAGTAAAAATATTTGTTTTGTATGTTGTTGTACAGGGGTACCATGTTAGGCAAAAGTTGAAATCTCAGAATCTTCATTCATCAACATATTGGGACCATATAACCATCCCTACGCTTAACTATTTACAAATTTCATGCCATTTATGATTGCCTTATAGTTCCTTTGTATTACAGCTTCTACCTTTCAACTATGGAAGCAGCCATTGAACATATAAAGAATGGGGGAGTAAAAATGTGTAGACAAGTATTTAATCAAATTTCTATTTTGAAAATTTTGTGCCAAAATATGAAACTGTCTCGGATAGTGAACTGATTCGTAATTCGAGCACTAAACTGAACAAAGCCTATTCTTCACGACCTTCTCAAAGTTAGCAGTGATTCTATTATTTCACCGAAACTAGATAAAAAGTTAATTTTTTGTATATTAAATTTTCAATTTTCGTTTGCATCAATAGCATTATTCTCTGTTTAAAATGTTTTCCAGATCTCAAAGAATGGCGATGTTGAACTTTCATCAATACAGAAATACTTCAAGGTAAATTCATGTTGAAAATCTCTATACTGTCTTTATACTATAAAATCGATTGGTCGATCTGACTTTAATACAATACTATGGGAATGTTCATGGATCCTTGCATAGCGTTCAATTATACAAATTGTTGTATCGGTTTCTTAAGTTTTATTTGTACATTATGATAGTGAAAGATTAAGCAATTTGAAATCTAAAATTAATGAATCTTTTTGATCTTTGGAAAATTTTATTACCTTCTATATTTTTCAGAGCGTCTCTTTTGTAAGAAAGTGTTTTTGTATATAATATTGATTTTTCAGATGGTTCGAAGAATTAGTTTGTCCAATTCTATGGGTTAGTTCAGGATCGAGATATTGATTTAGAAATTTAATTGACAGAGAAAGCGGGATTTTTTGGTTGATTCAACTGATTGTTTTTTTAAGGATATTCAAAATGGGGATTTGGATTCGGTCAAACAATTGCTGTCAATGAGTGCAAATGAAAGAAAAAAGAGAGAACAAAACAGATGTCATCCATTGTGTGCATGTGAAAAATGTACTGAGATGAAAAGACGGTATGTGCACATACATTATATCTACCAAACGTCGATTTTTTATGTTCTGCAAAAACTAATGTATGTGTATATATATGCTATATATATACATACAGTGATACCTTAGTAGTCGACCAATAAATTCTAGTCAGGTATGCTGCGGTACTCGGCTCGAAATTCGGTGCCTGAACACCTGAGCATACCGCTGAGTGACACGACGTCATCCGAACTGTGCATCTTCGATATGCCTCTTGGACTTGACCATTAAAGAAGAGAGCGATTATCAAATATGTAGACACAAAGGCCGAATCGAAGCAGTAGCTTGTCAGTGTTGAAGGTATATAGAATGTTGTGTAAAAATAACTGATTTTGCTGTTCTCCAGTATTTTTTCACTCTAAGGAAAGGTTCTTTATTACATACCAAACAACCATTAATTAAACTATTTATTACACTCTTGACCTGTCTTACTTTATCAATTCAGGTCAGCAACAATATCAAGTACTCTGATCACAGTTCAAACAAGAAATGATAAAGGACAAACAGCACTTCATATTGCCGCAGTTTCCGGTGAGTCTAATTGAAAAATATTACTTCACTTTTTTATTCCAAGCATTAAAGACGATTTACTATTTTTTGTATCATGGGCCCAGTGATAGTTTTTTGTTGTTACATTTGTGAAACTGGGGATAATTTATAAATATATAATGTGACATTTACTTTTTGTAATACAATGGATGTTTCGCTCAATTATCGTTAAATTATGACAGAAAAAAATTTACACTCGAACGTTTTATTTGTGCTCATAAAAATTATAACTTGGCTAAATGTTTGCTATAACGACTCAAATTTTCATATTATCATGAATTTTAATAAATTCGATTATTTTATTCAAGTAGTAAACACGGACAGATAAAAAGTACTTTATTAGGAAATTTATTTATATTTCATGACACATTGGAAATTGCTGTTATATCAAAACAGTATCTAATATCTAATAAAATTATACACAATATAGATTGTGTCATACAATTTGCGTACCACTGCAGGAATAGTAGTCAATTTACCAGTATATTCATGTTGCCCTAGGTCATCATGAATTAGTTGATTCACTAGTTGATCATGGTTCGGAGTTGAATGCAACTGATTATCATGGATCAACTCCATTGCATTGTGCTGCATTATCTGGATCACAGAGTGTTGTTGTGAGTATTTGACTTTCACACTAGTCCAGAAGGTTGAAGAAATGTATGTAGAACATTCCTGAATGTTTATATTATATGCTTTTGCAGCTCTTCCCACTATTGACCCAGAGTCATCTTTTAATCTTGGTTACCCTTCACATGAAAGATAAGAAAATAATATGTGTTTTGTACGATTGAATTGGGTCAGATATAAGAACAAGTTCTGACACATATTTCTGCTGTTGTTTGGCAGTACACTTTCAGGGCAATTGTCCCAAAATCACACTCTTTGTCAATACGGCAGCGCGATAACCTTCGTAATACCCCAATTTATTCACCTGTTTTTCCCTATTGAGATTCGATTTGAAAATGATTATTCCCGTTTTCCATCTATTTACATTCTATTGCTATTACAGTTTCTTCTTATGCATCATGGAGCCAATCCAAATGCACGAGATAACAACAGCAATACACCATTACATTTATGCTGTCAACGTGGACATGAGGCGGTAAGCATGGCAGTATTTGTAATATTTAATTTAAAAATGCCGTCGAAAGACCTTCCCATGTTCTTGTAGCTAAACCAATAAATTTTAAGGTTGCAAAACAGTCAAAGAAGTAAAGTTATGTTGAGGGTTAAAAATGCTGGGATATGATGTACTAATAATTCAATATATATTTGATATTTCATATATACCCGATTCGAACTGTATATTATTTGTTTTTGGTTATCCATGGTAGTAAATAATTTTTTTTAAACATTTGTTTTCTATATTTCAGTGTGCAAAAGCGTTTTTATACTTCGATCCAACAGTATCTGTCGAATCTATTAATGTACCCAATGATGAAGGAGATCGACCATTACATATAGCTTCTAAATGGGGATATGGTATGTCCTTGTATGCTATGTTCTCCTGTCATATAACTATCAATATTATAAATTGTAGTTCTCATCTTTATTATGTTTTATGCGATTCATCTCTTGGTCATGCAAATTGGTATTTGTGATATGTTTTTCAACAAAATGCTATACCAGTCTGTACTTCTCTAGTATAAAAAGTAGTGATCATTTTGAAATCACCATAATTACTTTTTCGTGTTCTTACAGATGGCATCGTCTCTGCTCTTCTTGAGTGTGGTGCAAATCCAAAAGTGATGAACAAGAGGCGTGAAAATCCCACAGATGTCAGCTTAAATTTGAAGGTTTCATTGACAATCAAAACAGCTGCTGCTCAAGCAATCAGGATTGTTCGAACACTGAGGCATCTACAGAGTAATATGGTAAACTTATGCTTTATTTATTTTTTATTAGTTTTATTGATCTACCGTATGTTTAATTGAATGAATAGATCATTTTAACTAAGTAGTCTCAAAGAATACTTGAAAAAGGTACTTAGGCCCACTTTTTTGGTCAAATTTGTTATTTTTATGGTCTGGGGTTGGAGTCGTAATTTTTTTAACCCTTAGTCAGGAGTCGTTTTCAAATGGCTCAAAGATCGAAGTCAGATTCAGGTGCAATTTTTTTTTTACCTCACGGCTTAGGTTTAAAATAATGATGACAGATTTTAGATCGTGTTTCAACTACCAGTGAATTATTAAGTGAAAGTTGAAGTATTCACTGGATCCAATTATTCATGACAAATCTTTTTGTTTATGCCATTGAATATATGACTCATTGTATTAGTATTCCCAAATTTTGTGTTCAGTTATTTCTATCTTTCATTCTTTGTGATTTTCCCATTTTCCGTATTTAGTTTATGTGTGTTTTACAGGCCATTGAACATTCCCCAAGCAATAAATCGCCGGAAAAAAGGAGCAGACCTCGTACAATAACTCCAAAAGAACTTCAAAATACAAGCGATAATGCTTATGTCGCTAAGCAGGCAAGATTTTTTTATAATTAATATCAGATAAACGGCTGGAAAATAGTGTTGATCTCAAGAATTTACTGAATGAATTATATTATTGAATATATTTGAAATTATTCGTATTTGTTATTTCAAATTCTTCATTTTAGGAATTGTTTAAAATAGTTAAATTGCCATTCTGGGCAATTTAAATCTAACAGTATAAAAGAGAATTCAAATTAATCTTAATCTGGAAATTAAATTTTAATTTCATAAAGCTGTGAAAATAGGGGACCAATCCAATTGTTATTTATCTTAACTTTACTGCATTTCGAAATTTAATCTTAAATTTAATTGAATATATATTTATATGGATTCCTATTTGCTCCTTATCAAGCATGACCCAATTTAAGATATTCTATATCTGAAAATATTTCGTTATAATGTATTAAATTACAATGAAATAGTAGATTCTTTGGTTCTAGTCACCCCTGGCCTGTTCCTATTTGAATTTCTTTCCACATTTGAGCTATTCTAAGTTATTAAATTTTTACGGTTCGAGGTTTTGTAGAATTGCAAATTTCCCATTTGCGGAATGTAAATTTGGATCTGCAGATTTCGTGCTAATCATTTTCTTTATTGAATACCTTCGTTATTGTTTTAGTCCTTCGTCAAAGTGCTATTCACATAAACTCCACCAAACATCGTAACAACCTTGTATTAAAACTTTTTAGGTTGAGAAATTGTTTAGAGCCGTTACTGACAATGATATTAACATGGTAAGGTTTTTATGTGGATGGCACAATACTGATAATGTTGATGACAATGACGACAAGGCAAGATTGAAACCTGATGTACCATCATCTTGTGATCCTTTATGTCAGTGTCCGAAATGTAATCCCGTTTCCCATGTAAGTTTTTTTATTTATTATGTTAGTTAATGTTTAAAAATCATGAGTTGCCCAGTCTGATTTGTGAATATAAAACTTCAAATTCAATATGCCTGTGGATTTGTAAAGTATTTCTTTACAGCTGGTTTTTTCCTACTATGATGAGATGGATTATCTAATAAGAATTCATTTAAAAAATTCTTCCTCCTTGCAATTTGTCTGTGTAATCTATATCGAGAAAGTCTAGCATTTTCAAATTTTGATTATTTTGACAGCATATCAGAATATTATTCTACTTTTTCTTAGTGAATTTTGATTTTGTCTTATTATTATTAACATTTTATTTTCATGATTTTACTTTTAGAAATATATTTTTCAGACAAGCCATCTGTGTGTGAACTTCTGTATGAATACTTCTGATGTTTAAATTTCAGGAACATGTTCTTCATGTCAACTCTTCTAATCAAGAAAAATATACCGGATTAATGTTGGCTTCAAAACACGGTTTTCTAGAGATGGCAAAACTTTTTGTTGAGCAAGGAGCGAGCATAAATACTAAAACAAAAAGACACGAATATTCTCCACTGCATTTTGCATGTGAAAGTGGTCATTCTGAGGTATGAGGATATTTAAATGATAGAAATTTTTTTTTTTTTCTGAAAATTAACATGGCTTTGAGAAAAAAAAATTATTCTTTTTTTGTATTTAATAACTGATGCCTTTGTGTAGAACAGAATGCGTGACTATGGAATTTTGAAGGAAAAATAAGAGAGCCGTATTTATTAAACTTTTCTACATATTTTCAGATTGCAGAACTGATACTGATGCAGGAAGGTGCAAATGCGGATATAAGAGACATATTTGGCAGCACTCCGCTTTACATGTGTGCAATATATAATCACTTAGACTGTGCAGTTGTGCTTTTGAAGGTTTGTTTGGCATTAGGTATTTTCAAAATGTAGATGGAAAAAAGAAAATTTCCATCATCACACATTTAGACTAATAAGGTAATATTCATGCATTTAGCACGCATTTTAATTTTAATATGGCACTAAAGAATTCTGTATGATAAACTTTTTTCTTATTTTTTCGTCTTTTTGGTCATGTACCGGTAATTGAAGTCATTTGTCATTGAGACACAAATATTTTTATTTCCTCATAGTCTAATTTACTGAGCATACCTCACTAGTCAAGGTAGTTGGAAATCTTATCATGTGTTGTTTTCAGCATCATGCTTCTGTAAACATAAGAAATAGAAATGGTGATACTCCTCTGCATGTTGCTGTCAAATGGAAGAACAAAGACATAATTAAAATTTTGCTCGACAATGGAGGGTTGGTTTATTACAAGAACAATGATGGGCAAAATCCTATTGATTTTGCAAATAAGGTACCGTGTTTCATACTGTTTATTAGTATTTCATTATTTTTTTAAACTTTTTCCTAAGTCCTGTTTGACCTGATCATCAATATATTGCTGTTTTATATATATAGGAACATTTTATTCCTTCACCCTTGTCTGGCTGTGTTATACTTGTTTGCCGATTTTGTCAGCAAGCTTTGTGCTCCGCTACTGTTATGGAATTACTGCACCTGTACCAATGAGTGGCCTAATTAAACTTGTGTGAATGAATTTGTTGCAGGATCCTGAAATCAAGAGAATATTGCTCTCCGTGTCTGCTTTAGAGGAAAGTTTATCTTCAACGCCATTATCACCTATTGGAATATCCCCTCATACCGCGACTCCTCCATTGGCTGATTCATCTGGGATTTCAGATTTGTCTGTTTCATCAGCTCATCCTGACTCACTATCTGCTCATGATGAAGCAATTGCTGACGAACTATATACCAAGTTCAAGGATCCACCACCTTCCACCCCTCCTCAGTGTGGTAGTCTCGATAACAGTTGCGAAGAAAATATTGATCATGTTGATAAATGTATTGATTTTGAAGATAACAATTCTTTTGATCCATCAGCAACCAGTGGAAATGCTGCATCTCCAAGAAAAGCATCAACTGGGGTTAGTGTTACGTCTGATATTTTCAGAGATTTACTCCAGGAAACTCCTTCAACTACAAATTTCTACAATGATGCTTACGAATCTACAAGCTATGGTGAAGCATCTAACACACCCATGCTAAGTGCTCATGTGGAAACAGAAGCTGTAATTGCCAATGTTGATGATGTTTTTAAACCCTTGACGGGTTCAGATCTGGCAATCGAAAGGAATGAGGAATCTGGTTCTCTGGATATTTCTAAAGAGGAAGAAAGAGTGGAAGCAACCGATTCTTATTTCGAGATTGGCTGATTTTGATAATTTTGCTTCTTTTTTGCTATTGAATCACTGTGATGATTGAATTCCATATAAATATAAAATTTTATTGTTGAAGTATTAGATGTTCTCATAAACCTTCAATAAAAAAAAGTTATGTTTAGGTTTAAACAATTTTTTTTATTTCTATTCTGAGAATAATTTCATGAGTTTGGTTTTGTTATGTCAGTTGATTATGGCCTAGCTTGGGAAGAGATAGGCTGATAAGAAGGCTTAATCACATGGCGAGCCACGACGTCTCATTCGGTTGAGAGTCCATTATAGAGTTTGGTGATAGTTAGCCAGTTATTCATTTCAAGTGTATAAACTTGGTCGTCGATTGTTGAACTGCACTATGAAGTTGAGGAGAGGGATTTTTTCTACATACCATATGTAAATTTAAAAAATACGGCTATAATATTGTTGATTGCATGAAAATATTGTTTGTGTATAGAGGATTTCAGCAATCCACCGCACATCACAGGTTAATCTGAGGTTTTACAACTTTCATTGTATGAATGAAGTGGGCACATCTGATCTTATTAGGTTACAAAAGATTCCGGTTTAGAATGGCATTTTAAAACTGAAGTCAATTAGGGGAACACAGTTGCACTCCAGTATTTTTGAGAGTTTTCTAGGATTTTTTATCTTCAGGTGCAAAATAGGTAACCAAATATGAATATTGGCAGAACCGCTCTAAGTAAGCACGACTGAAAACTACAGTTATTGAAAAATATTGGGAGCGTGCTTGAGAAAATGAGTTTACAAGCCTGTTGCTTGAAAAGAAAGTTATCGTATATAGTCTATATATATATATACTGTATATATGATTATGTAAAACTTATCCTAACGATAATTTTGATTTTTCCCACCCCGTATGGAGCTTTGGCTACCTGCCTGGGTCTTTTTTTGTATTGTCGTATTTACATCATCTTAATTATTTAATAACTACCGCATTATTTCACTGTTCCCCATAAGATAAATATGAACCCCAAGTTGTGGTGTTGTGAAACATCTATTCGAGGTCAAAGGTTGTAAAACATCTATTTTGGGTCAAAGGTTGGGAAACATTTATACCGTTTAAATCGGTTGCCGCTCACTGACTTACATAAGTTTATGTTTGTTGTGGCATGTTTCCACACCCAGACACCTTGGTGTTGGTCTGCTTTTGCTTGCAGGCAAGTTTACCGGCTTAGGAATCTTTCATAATAAAATTTTCTGAGTCTGCAAGGTTTCAATCTTTGCAAGTGCTTAACCATGGAGCGAGCATGGGACGCGGTGTGGGAAAGTCTTGGCATATTTAAGAACGAAAGTCATTCTGACGATTTCGATAATCGACAAGATTTGAAACAAAGGTTACACATCCTGGCGTATTTGCCTATCTTTGCCATTGGAATATTCTTTTCAAGAAAAATATACGAAAGGTAAAACTTATTATCTTATCCTTCTGATTTAACTTATGGTAGCAGGATAGGTACGGTACAATATCTCCTAATCCTGTAATCAGGTAATCCAGATTCAGAAATTACAGAATTATAAGTTCTGAAAATTGCAATATGGGCCTTCATATCGACGCATACTGCACTGCGCAATAAACTAAATCTAAAAATGACACCATTAGATCCCTCGGAAAAAAAGAATCTGATGTAGGCTAGACTACAAAAGGAAAAAATATTGTACAGTTGTACTGTAGCATTCGATAGTTTTTAGCAAAAAAACACGATTATGGTCACATGATGGTTGACGATTCATGATTGATTCAAATTATTATCGAGACAAGCATGGCACGATTTGCCATTGTACCAGATGCTCTCGTTTCAGAGACAAATAGAGAATTTGTTTTATTGAAAGTTGAAACAAATGTTGGAATTTAAGGACTGTGCTCTACTGTATATAGTGATCTGACGAGTTCATAAAAAACTGCTTCTGGAGGATTTAATAAGATAGTTAAGCAAGTTAATGCATGAAAAGAGTGGAAAAGTTTTAAAACTCACTCCTAATCAATATAACTAAAATCCAATTAGATATCCACATTTTTTTGTCTGCCCAAGTGAATTCATATTCATTATAGCTATGTTTGATTTTCAATGCAGAACTGTGGCGATTCCATTCTGCAAATTCGTGATGTTATCAGATGGATCGGAGAGAAAACCAGCATCAAGAAATCCCACTTTAGAGACCTTTTTTCTGAAAGTATCCAAACGTCCATCAAATGTAAGAAATTTATTTCTTTTGCTGATACCTTTAATTTTATTGATGGCAATCTTTCTATCTCTTACAATTCAACACTAAATACAGATTTTTCAAAGCGAAAGCTGTCATATTTTTATAATGAAACAGGCAGCTTGTTTTATAGTTTCCACCATTGATTAGTCTATTTTTCATAGGTATACTTGGGGGAGTTGTGTGTCAAATTTATCAATGAAATGATGTTAGAAATGTATGATATTTATATTATATTACAGGATCAATTGGATGGATTAGTGAAGCAAACGGACTTGTCTATTGCATTTATAAGGACATGGTTCAGAAGGAAGAGAAATTCGAATCGGCCTACAGACCAGAAAAAATTTTGTGAAGCCAGGTCTGTAATGCTTTAATATTTGTCACAAAATTTGTAAACAAATGGTGTCAATTTTCCATGGGTTTATACTCCTGAATCAAGAAAGAGGTACCGTACATGAGTACTTTCTAATTTTGATGACACGTTCAAATATGTTGGATATTACACCCCAACATTATTATTTCTTTTATACAGTATCTCTTAAGTGACTGCCACTTAGTTTGATTTTTTAATGGATTTTTCCTAATATGAGACCACCACAACTAAACCGAACTAGTCTTTAATAAAAAGCACAACAATTTTCACACACACAATTAAAGTGTGTCTGGCTTTTAACACTAATAATCTCCTTGTTTTTTATTAGATAGTCTCTCCTGGTAGTCATTCGGACTCTTGTGTATCATTTTTATGAAATACTAATCCTAAGGTTAAACTACCAAAATATTGCATGTTTTATACTTTTGTGTTCATTTTGTCTTTTAACACCAGTAAAATAATCATTTTATTTCAGCTGGAGATTTTTATTTTACACCTGTTTATTCACATATGGAATGAGTACTCTATGGGAGGTATGTTTTTCCTGTTATTTTCGTATAGTGTGATTTGAATACTACAATTTTCAAAACCTGTTATTTAAAATTCTATTTAGCTTAAAGCTGTGAAATTAGAATTTTTTTTTTTAAATGTTATCATTGTATATGTTACACACAGAAAGTTCCTGTGAATATCTAGTCTAAAGCAACTTATCTCCAGTTTTGAACTCCCTAGGCCTGGGTTGACCAATACTGAATAATTCACTTTTTCTAATGTATTCTAAAATATTTTTTCCGAATATGAAATATCGAGTATCTATGTTAAAATAAAATCAAGTAGTGTATGAAGGAATTTGCATACTATAAACAATTTGCATACAATAAACAATAACTGTTGCCTCCAACCTTGCTACTAAAATTCCAAGCTTTTTTTCAATTTGTTTATTTCCGATTGGATACTTTTCATAATATAATGTTTTCCAATTGCAAGCAAAAAAGACCCAAGTCGGTAAAATCGTCATTAAACAAAAACACCACAAATTTTGTTCAAGATGCACTGCAACAAATAAAAGCTATATTTTAGACACTGTAAATCGCCAAAATTTTAGGCGTCTACGGCACACGTTATGTTATGTTGAAAAATTTAGAAATATATTTAGTTGAAACAGTTAATTGTACTCGCGTGTCGCAATGTTCCTTTGTATCGATTCCTATTACCGTTGGGCCTTTGGCCGCACCAGCCCTTTTTCCTGGATTATGATGGATATAAGCTAACCGATGTTAATTATATTCAATCAAATCATTATTGCAATAAAATGAATAGTATGGGATTTTATCGCTGATCTTGGTTTTCAACATACCGTACATGTTATGTCCCCAGATTGCCGTGGTATTCTAGAGTAAGGCTTTAAGGAATGCTTTTTTTCGCAAGTCTACGCAACTGTGAGTTGCATTGAACCGAATTGAATAAATTAATACGGCAATTTTTAATGCTGGTATCGGTCGCGGATTAAATATTTTGCTCGGCATGAAAATCATCCAGTCCATCCATTCGATTCGTTATTAAACTATTATTATCAAACTTACAGTATTTCACGGCAGTTAAGTCGCTTTTCTAGACCCAAATTTCGGCCTGATTTTGGGGGGGGTTGTCTTTTAGTCGAGTATGAGAATTTTTTTGGTATCACCTTATTATATATTACATCCTCATCATTGCCGTGTTATTCTAGATCGGTAATGCTCTTATATGGTGGACGCTATCGCGAGTTAGGTTGAACACAATTAGATTGAAATTGACAGTTTGAATTCTTGTAGTTGTTATGGATTGAATATTACGCTACAAGAAAAGTCATTATAAGCTATTTTTACCAATGCATGGATTGAATATTACACTACAAAAAAAGTCATTATAGGCTATTTTAACCAATGTGCAAACACGGCGACCGCTCAAATGTCTCTGCATGGTAATTTGAGATGTTGAAGCGATTTTACTACCCTGACTTATTAGCAGATTATATGCAAAAACCCATTATTTCAGACTTAAAAACGGGCCGCCTCGTCTTATTTACTGAGCAGACTTATTCGCTGGGAAATACAGTGCCAAAAACCTTTCCGAGTGAATCAAGTTCTTTTTCACGACAATTTATTGCGTTTGCTATCATAACGAAGCACAGGAACACAACTTATTTAGTATCTGACACTAGTTGGATATATGCGAGACACGTGAACCAACACCATGTTCAATATTTCTCTCCATTAATTTGACCAATCGCTTTCAAAAAAATGTACCGAGTTGAGTCTAACACTTTCATATCATGGTACGCAGTATTTCATCAAATTTTAATTAAATAATGTGGCATAGGATTCGCTGGAGTAAACGCTTGCTGAACTGCTTTCTAGATAAAAGTGTGTTTGGTTATTAATTACGGTTTAACAACATAATTCTCAATTTTATGACTTATTTTGAAAAAAAAAAGCTCAAATTAAGTGGAAGCTTTGCAAGGAAATGGGAGCATTTCCACCAATTAACTGTGAAAGAATGATGCGAAAATATGCGCTTCACGCTCGCACAGAAAATAAACAATCTAAGTGCCAATTCTGTTTCATCATCGTACAACTCGTGTCGTGACAAAGTGCAGAAAATACTTGGGGATTTTCCTCTAGAAAAAAAAAATTGCTGACAGCAAAAAGTGGCCATTATTGGGAATTATTTTAAAATTGACTAGAAAAATATTCACATACTTTGAATATCCTTTAGTTTTGGACAACCCTTCCCTAGGCCAGTAATAATGTGAGACATCTCATAACATACACATATGTGAAAATATAACTCCCATGGCCAGGATTGCCCTAACAATGATAATCATCTGACTCGTTTTTTTATATATTAATTTTGCGCAGTTTCTTGCTATCACATTTTGAAGGATGCAGGTATTAAGTAGTACCACCCTCCATCCCGGACAGGTATTTACATGCGCTGACTTATTGGGATTTTTCAATGTTTGTTTTGCTATGCTTACTTGCACTTCATTAGTTGTCATCTGTCAGTTGCTAGTTAAATTCTATGTTCTGTTGACATTTGTTTACTTTGGTAACTGAGATTGCGTACAATATATTTTATCACCTTTGTTTAGTTTCTATAGTTATCTAAACATTGACGATATTTGATAATCAGGTATTTCAATGGAGACTCTTTGTGCTTTGTGTATATTTTAGTTTGCTAATTCGCACTATGATAAACACTCATACTTACTATGCACTGTAACACTATAGATTCTTCGCTTTTGTATGTCTCATACAGAACTCTGGTTTACAGAAATCTGTCCATTTCCATTGCTTTCTCCTCATCTGTCAGTGAAGTGATTCTATACTCGAACTTCAATGACATTTCATGACACTTTTGTATTACTGCATGTTGTGAATGGGCATGCCATATTCTTACAGTTTTAGTTTCTTTTGTCCTTTTTTTATTTTTCCATTGTTTTATTTAATTTTTATTTGTTATATATAATTTTGTTTTAATTATAAAAAAATATATGTATAATCTATTTCATATTTTTATGATTCATTATACTACAGCAGTGTTTCTCAACCCTTGAGGCTGCAGACGTAAATGAGTACCAAAAGGCACTGGTGATTGCGTAGACGTATTGGTTACATTAGGCATTTTTATGAAGACAAACAATAATAATAAATTTAAAATTAATAATGAAATAAATTTTTTTGATAATAATCACATTTTTCGTAATTTCAGTCGTATTAGTTTCGCAATTCCTCTTTTCGTTTCGTGACAATTGACTTCTCTTGGGGTATCACTAATAATTAGTTTTACCGCATTCCTGGCAAGACAAAATAAAGATTACGTGTAAAGACAAGTAGATGAAAAATGGGTTTACTTGGGTATATACTGTGCTTAGAGGTTGTAGAGGCGTATATAAAAAGCCAAAGTGTGGTGTCGTCATGGGGCAAACAGAGATCAGTCTCCTTTAGTGCTTTAATCTTGAGTGAGTGCGGGACCTTGCTTTGGGCCAATTGTTTTTTTCAAATAATAAACTCATACTAGAGGTTTTGAATGAGAAAGAACATGATTGTGAAGTGCAATCAAATTGATTGTCTGCTTTCATGAAGAGGGAAAACTTGTAAGACAGAACATGTTTCTTGTTCTGTTTTTTTGAAAATCGCTGAGCAAAAGTGTGTGTTAAATGAAAGCAATGGTGTGTCCACTGCCATTATTTTTAGTTAGGAAAACCTTTTCTTCCCCAACCTTTTGGGAAACAGTGGGCTAAAGTAACAAATAATGATACACACATTTTTTATTAGATATGACATTTCGAACTTTTAATAATAATTCATAGGAATGTTTGATTTTTATTTCATGACTCTGTCGTCGTCTCAAATTTAATTATTTTTATTTTATTATTTCAAGTCCTCATGGTTCTGGGACAATCAATTATGTTGGGAAAACTTTGGACGTCAGGTGCTGGATCATCAGACACAAGTTTACTACATGCTTGAATGCAGCTTTTATTTATCTTTGTTATTCTCCATCATGACGGACATTAAAAGAAAGGTTGGTTTTCATTTTTTTTTCATTATTCCATCAGCTGCACTCGAACAGAGGTAAATATTTTGTTTTTATCCTCCTATTACTGTTTATATTAGCTCTCAGGTATGAATTATTGTAGTGCTTATAGTTCCTTGTTTGTCATGCTGTTTATATTTCTGCATAGTTAGCACTAATTTTGTAGCCTATCTATAAAAATACCTTTCTAAATATATACCATCATAATGCCTAATTTCAACATTGTGTATGACTTAAGTTCCCATATTTGTGGTGCTTTATCATGGGAGTTCATACTCATTGAAATTGTCATTCAACTTCATTCATTCATCTCTGATTCAACCTTTTATCATATCAATAATAAAATAAAACTTTTTATAGTTTCTTTTAGGCTTGCACGTAATTGACAAAAATCAATTCCGTAATTACGGCCAAATCGATTACGTAATGACCCCGTAATTGCGATATTTTTTTTCACACCTTTAAACCTATCATAACAACCAATTTAATACACTTCTATTCCGAATGGGACATCGACAGTTGGGACAGTTTGGTTTTCATATTTCCGCCAGTACTACACGCCGGCGACAGATGCTAAAGACAAATATCAAGGAGTGAATTCAAATTAATTTTATTCTGATTTTTATCTTTTGTGTTAGCTTTGATTTTCCTTTATCAACTTTATCACCCAATTTTATGCGATCAATTTCATCATTACCAACACTGGTAAGTGGTAATATATTTATGAAACGATAGTTGACTTTTTTAAAATCGTATTAACGTATTAATACGAGTTTCGTATTAAATAAAAATTCCGGGTTTCTAATTTATAAATCAACGACGAGCGTATTCTCTCGTTTGATTATACTTGCGCTTGCCTCGCGACGAAGACTTGTTATTGTACCGTTTTTTTACATTATCCGACTTTACTACCTAGTTAGCATTTTATAATAATTATTGATGCCGACTTATTGACGATATTCCGATTACCATGCTTCATTTTACATTAAATCATTTCGCGGCCTAAATGTTATAACATTATTTGCGATAAATTTAGATCAAATATTAATTATTTGCGCATAATTTAAATACCGTACTTATATGACATGCCTTCTCCCCGAAAATACAAAATTATATCGCAAAACAATGCATTTTGTGACATTTATTTTGCACTCACGGAAATATTAATTTACTTTTCTAACTCAAGTCGACAATCCTATCGGCTAAGATTGACACAAGTTTGGTCGAGTGCCGGTGGTATTTGAGTCGACGATAAATCAAAATAAGTTGCCGCATTTGGTAAAAACTTAAAGATTTTGTAAAGACATATTTGGCCGAAATAGTGCGAGGCATTGTGAAAACAAGGCCAAGTTCGGAAAGATATATAACGATAAAACCGGTAACAGAACATCAAGATTTTGTAATAGAAAATGGATCTCGCGCAGAATAAACATGGGAAATCCCGTCTTTTTGTTGTTTCTCTGCCGTCTGAATCGCTTTACCGATGCCGAAAAGACTAAGTTGCGTTGGTTCATTACGCAATTTCTCTTCCGTCGTCATATTGCTGTTTGATAAGCGCGACATTAATTATCACGGCATTTACAAATAGACCATGTTTGGTAAGTTGATCCCTTACATTCTTTAGTCATTTCACCCGAAGAAGTTGAAACCAGGTGGGTTGGCGTCCATCGGTCTCAACACAATTCTATCCCTTATCTACGCTTAATATGTACATTTGCCATGCTAGATAAGTTGATAATAGGTTAGTAAATGGCAACGCGTTATGCCTTCTCCATCTGCGTAACAAGAGAGAGAAAAACGGCTGCGAATAACGGAACTCTAAATTCTTCTACTTATTAAACTTTAATATTTTACAATCGACGGAATTGACTGCTCTGAAGAGAGCTCGTTTCAGTCGCGAAAGCGCTCCACCAATAATTACGAATTTACGTAATTCGTAACTTCGCTTCCGTAACTCGAAATAATTCCGTAAATCCGTAAATTACGTGCAAGCCTAGTTTCTTTCTAGTCTCATTCATCACCTATATAACTACTTTGATAATCTCATCAGTCATCATTTATATTTTTTGTATGCAGGATTTTTTTGAACAATTGATTCATCATGCAGCCACTTTATTTCTCATTGTATTTTCATACATTGTAACATTTGTTCGAATCGGAACTCTCGTCATGGCGATTCATGATATTTCTGACATCTTTCTTGAACTCGGAAAATGTTTCCATTACATCAAACGAAGAACTCTAGCAGATGCGACTTTTGTTGTATTCGCTATTGTGTTTCTCATATCGAGACTTGTCATCTATCCATTTTGGTAAGCCTGTGTGATGTGTTCCAATGTTCATATGTTATTAGTTTGCTATTGTGAAATTCAAAGTTGCATTTACATTGAAATTCTGTATATTTTACGGCCAAATTTATGACTTCTGACTAGAGCTAAGATCTGAAGCTCGAGCCCGACCCGGGCCAGGCCTGAAATGTCAATCATTACGTTCGAGTCGGGCTTCTCTATTGCTGACTCTTTTTTTTTTTAAATGAGGCATTTCGGCCGTGTTTTGTCCACGAGAGACCGTGTTCTGCAAAAAAAACAGAAGTTACCTCATCAACACCACACATAGTGTACTAAACTCTTGCAATGACAATTCAATGGACTCCTAAATAAAGTATGAAGATTCGGGCTCGCTTCGGCTCAGGCCTGCAAATCCAGTTAATTTGTCGGGCTCTGGTCAGGTTTCATACCCACGGGCCTGGGTCGGGCAGGGCTGGAATTTTTGGGCCCGATTTTACTTCTACTTCTGACCCATGTTACAGAATAATTACATTTACTGCATTAACAAGCATCGAAAAGCAAAAATAACCTACGGTAATCATCTCGTTGAAATTGTCATATTCTGTTTCTAGGGTGATCCACACTTCTGCAATCAAAAGCTTGGAAGTTACACGCCTGGGTTTTGTCTATTATTTTTTCAACATTCTCCTGGTTATTTTACTCTGCTTGCACATATTCTGGGCATCAATTATTATCAAGATGGCTTGTAAAATGATTGCAAAAGGAGAGGTATGAATAAAATGTTTTGTTACTCATATTTGTATTATTTGCACAATTCCGTATTCTGTCGTCTGAGACTGCCTGCATATTGGTTAAAGGGTTAGATTTACCTATGTTGGTATCACATATTAAAATCCTTGGTTCAAATCTGTGTCCGCCACCCCACCCAGTGCATAATTAGGTTGGTAGATAATGATGAATTTAGAGTTTTCTTGTCCTTGGTCCCCAAACTACTATAGTAGTTCTCTACCTGGCAGAGTCAACTTGTACGGAGACTTGTTTGAAGTGGAAGGCGTGTAAATATATGCTGCATAAAGAAAGGTATTGATATCAGGACACAGGTTGGATTCAAAGTCCATCAAAACATTGATTATAATTTTATTTCCGTCATGGAACATGCGTTTGGGACTTCTGAGCAATTGTGCTTTATGACCTTTTGGGTCGCTTACGTAAACCACCTTACGACGGTGAGCGGCCCAGCAATCCTCTCGCACATATTTATTTTCTACAGGATTCAAACCTGCGAACCCACACTGGGTGATCAAAGGTGAGATGGTATGCGTATTATAGACACATACCACGAAGGATTCTGTATTTATATATTTATTCAACTTTCTGCAGGTTGAAAAGGATGATCGAAGTGATACAGAGGAGGATGACACAGACGATGAGTCTACTGAAGAAAAGAAGTATATCTAGCTCAACTGTTTAAATACAAATGAAATCTTGTTTAGAAATGATTATTTATTTTTAGAAGTGATTTTTACATAGTGTATTACCCTGTGTCAACTTTCCACTCGTTAACATTTGACAGTGATTTTGAATGATTGAAGACTTATTGATAGAATTTTGTCAGAATTGTATTTGTTCACAATAAAATTGTATCTTCATTGTATATCGAGAAGGTACTCGTTACTTCGATTACAATCTCAGTTACTGTAACAATTTTTATGCAAATTAATATTAAGCTTGCTTGGTTTAATTGTTTTTTTAAAATGGCTTTTTTTAATTGTGTGATATTAAATATTCTATTATTGTACAAATCAATAGTATCATATTTTACTGCACATTATTACATGATAAAATGAAGCTTCCGCTTTTGGGGTGCATTGTTTTCTATATATTAATTAACTAGTATGTTTGTATTTTTATATAATTGACCTAAATCAAGTGTTATCAAAATTTGTTTTTAGCTGTAGATAAAAGCTACTGAAAATATTTTTAAACCATATTTAGTATTTTTGTACTATTCTGACCATGTCTTGTCATTGTTGCCATTGTTTTGTTGCCAAGTTTTTCATCTGATTGGCATATTTATTGATGTTTTGTTTTTTTAATCTGTGTTATTTTTTGTAGTGTTTTGTGGGTGTGATTAATTTATATAGAAATGAAATAAAATAACAATTTATTGAGTTGGAATAATGAGTTAATACCTGTAATGTCATCTTGTTAGTTTTCCCTCCTATTAGTTGTAGTAGCTTGATCAAAGCTAGAAAAACTAGAGCAGCGTCCACGAGAAAGTGAAAACGTTCTGTGAAATAACCCTAGTTTCGTGGTGAAACTGTACTCCCGAAGTACGTGAACCAAGATGGCGGACACCTGAACGTAGTATGTGTACCAGGTTAGGGTCTGGCCATAATTTTACTCCCAATTTTCCCTATTTCAGTTCTATTACGAGTTCGGGGACTAGCCGAGTGACTCCAGTAGTATTTGTGCCTGAAATTATGGCCCAACCTGGTACACATACTGCGTTCCGTTTCTGCCATCTTGGTTCACATACTTCGAGGGTACCGATGAAACTAGGCAGAACATGGAATTTTCTTATAAATATATAAAAAAAAACGAAACTGTACTAAAATTACTCGCGTGCATAGTATAGTGCCCACGAACTGTTATGTGGCCTCACCGCGTGTCTTTTTAAAATGATGAACAGGGGAGGTACACGAGTGCTAAGGGGCCACGTCTCACAAAAGGTTGGGATCCAATACGCCAGAGTGTGTCGGTCCAGTGTCGCTTTGAGTCCAGGAAAGACCACCCCTTTGCAATAGCAGCGGTTACAAAATTGTAAATTTTTGTTACGATTTTTTGTACCCGGGCGGAGTTTAAAATAAATCTTGTAATCTTCTATCTTGAATGTTGTATTGGTGTCGTAATAATATCACATTGACCTGTAACCTGTCCTAGTTATATTAAATTAAAACGTGACTCTTCAGAAACTTCGGTATCATTGTTACTCAATATATCAGTGGCGGCGCGTGGTCATTTTGACAACCGGGGCAAGCTACTGCGGGACCAAGTCACCCCCATCTACGGGGACAGGATGAGCGCTGTAAGTTCTCCCATCATTTTATGAGTATAAAAACCATTCCATCGGTAACAACCAATCGGCAAAAGCGACAATTTTTAACGATAAGAAAGTGTCTTTAAAACCGGTCCAAGTCAAGGGATTAATAAATATAGACATAGTTTATTTTGAAACCTCTTTCAAAAGGAAAGACAATATTTACCCAGATAAATACAATGACATATTAACAGAAACTTCGGGAAAGCAGACAAAACCTAAAATAAGGTTTAAAACGTTACTATGAAGAAAGGAAAGTTAATGCAAAGATAAGGACATGCGTCGCTCACTCATGGATATATATGCTGCTAGACTTCTACTGCTTGAACATATATGCAACACGCCGCGGTTTCTTGGAAGCAAAATGCTCAATAACGCGCTGATTAAGGTCATGCATCCCAGAAATAACGTCTCTGTCAATGGATAAAACAGCCAAGGAATTTAATCTATCTTGCTTCATTGTGTTTCTGAGATACGTTTTAATACGCCTCAGCGTGCTGAATGTTCGCGTCGTCAAAATGATGTCCAGAAATTTTGCAGACGCCGCAAAGGTAGTTACTAGAGTGTTATCTATGAGGAACCCATAGAGCGCGCAAGTTGATGTGATGTTCAAAAAAGTTTAATTGGTGTATATACATCGCAATTCATTTTCCAATTTACCCACGTTTATCATGGGGTAAAATTTGGAGACAGTAGCCAACAAATGGATGGGAAATTGACGTGCAAATTTTGAAAAATTTTTGGGGTTCATCAAAGAGAACGCGGCAAGGTGTTCAGTGCGCAGACGATCGCCTATTTGATTCACCAGAATGTCACAGCATTCCTCTGCAGACAAAATCAAACGCTGCGTTGTTTGCCCGCGGCGTAAAGAAGCACTGCATGTGTCGTCGTATTCTATTGTTTCCCGGATACGAGATACAGCATCGCAGTCTGAAATACACGACTGCACAGACGCTCCATCCATTAGCCTTGACTGCAATGCGCCGTATAATACATCCACGTGATAGAATATTGTGGAGAAAAAAGCGAGAAAAAATGAAAACTCACCATCTTCTAGCCGACGCTTTAGACCTGCAGCCTCCCTCACAGAGCGTTCGTCCCAAACCAGAGAGCTCTGAATGCCATTGAAACACTCAATGAGCTCAGACCTAATTTCGGACACGCCCTGCACCACGCGTGATTAGAAGTTCCAACGTGTTGGTGCACAAGCTGGGAGACGGCGGCTACATATCTGGCGAAGGAGGTCAGAGCGCTTCGGCGAAACGGAAAAAAATGAAGAAAACCCCGAAATATTTGCAAAAAATATACGGACGAGAGGGGTATCAAGACACATATTTTTAATAACGAGGTTAAATTGGTGTGCATAACAATGTAAAAAATGCGCATGAGGAAAATCTTCTTTTATATAAACTTGAACACCATGTTTCGACCCACTCATGACTGCCGCGCCGTCATAAGTTTGAGCTTACAATTTTGACTTCGCGTTGTAAGGCTGTAACACTTCTTTAAGTACAGCCGATATCCCGCAAGCCGTGCGATCAACGATTGGTACAAAGCTGTGAAATCTCTCGGTAGGTTTACCATCTTTCACAAACCGAAAAATCACAGCCAGTTGGCAAACGCAGGTGATGTCAGTTGTCTCGTCAGACTGAATCGAAAGGAACTGGCAATTCTCAATTTCCAGAGCCAAATGTTGTAAATAAATTTTATACATTGAGTCGAGCAAATCATTTTGGATATCCTTAGATGTCCCTTTCGAAACAGTTGCGGCATCAAGATGATCTCTCAATACTGTATCTAGGGATGCGGTGCATTCCACCGTATCCAAAAATACCCCTCTATTAGAAGAGCCAGCCCGTTCATCGTGCCCACGGAGGGACTGCTCGTGACAACCAATGAACTTCAAAACATCTATCAATCGACATGGCGGTTTTTCTCAACGTTTTGGTTGTGCCGACGAATAGAAACCGCGCGTCCTTCATCCAACTGTGCTGCAATATTAACATTTCCGAATGTTCGGTATTTTACTGCATTATCCAGATGCTCCATAGAAGATTGATGATCCCTGGCACGCTCGGAAAGATGTTTAAGATCTCCAAAACCAAATTTACACCAACGTGAGTCACGGGCGGTAGCAAAAAGTAGGCAATAAAAAAAGTGCATTTTTGTCCTCGCTGTAACACAACCGTTCGTGTTTTTTATACCAAGTTTCTGCGCAGAATGTACGCCGACGCTTTCCTCCGTCATGGGATTGTTCCAGTGAACAATTTTTTGGTTGATTAGGCCCAAGACGTTGTACCTCTAATTTTTGTTCCAGCGGCAGCTGCGAAAACGGAGTGCGAAGTAGTGCATCAACCTTATTCATTATGAGGTCTAAGGCTAAGAAATGCGAAGCCGGAAAGAAGTGAGGAGCTCAAAAGGAATGTGGAAAATCGAAAGCAAATGGACTAAAGGTCTCTAACTGATTCAAATAGCGAAACAAGCGACAAAAACGAAGGCGAGGAAACTATTAACTCTTCAAGCAACCAACGAACGAGAAGGAATGCGTGAATATGTCAACACGTTGTTGTAAGAAACGTCGGCATTGTGTCGTCATAAATCGGGGCTAGCCCCGATCGGCCCCGATGATTTAGTAAAAGAAACAGAAAACAAACGAGACAAACGCGGCAAGTGGAAGATAAAAGAGAGAATACGATATACAATGAGCAACCGGGGCAAAATCGGCGTCGCCCCGTCGACGTTCGGCGAAGGCTTTGCGAGCGAAAAATGAACCATGTCGGGAGGATATGGCTAGTGTAGACAGTCTGTGCAACCGATATTGAGGTATTTTTCGAATATTTTTTATTATACCGAAAAAACAACCGGGGCATTGCCCCGGTTGGCCCTATTGACGCGCCGCCACTGCAATATATGTATCTAAAAGTACAAGCAATAACACAAATTGCACATCCCCGGACTACTGAGTTTTGGGCAATCAATGATACAAATAAATTGTACTCCTATTATTACCCGACAACATGTACAAAAAGAATTGCGGTTAACGAATGGTCATTTCAGTGTATTGGTCCATGTACTGCCATGCCTCATATGGACAGATTTCATTTCGATTGTTAGTGCGTAACATTTTGTTCCCAGAGATAAAGAAATGGGATTAATTCATTCATAATTTTTCAACTTTTTAAAGGGAAAATATTTGTGACAAATATTACTAATATGAACATAATAGCAAGCAAATATATATGTATGTATATCAGTTTCAAGAATTTGTTGAACCGGTTATACTTATATGCTTTATCAATATTTACATCCCACGATAGTGCGTGACATGCTTTGTCGTTCATGTCGTGTATTTGAAATTGGCGTTAAGGTAATCAATTCAAACTCTACGTCATTAAAATGATGCAGTGTGTAATATGAAGTACACTTGCATTATTGGCGATTTGACCCGTACATCTATACCCTTATTTCTAACTAATACATGTAAACTAATAGCAATCTGTATTATATAGAGCAAATTCATAATATAGTACGTTTATCGAATGACAATAGTTCAGTTCGGGGTTCAAGAAAAACAACGTACTGTCTATGTGAATTAAAGTATCACATGTAACTCGTGCGTAATACTTATATCGATAATATATTCTCATGTATCTATTAAATAATCACAGTATGAATCATTCATATTTGAGGTATAGTTTTATAAAATATTTGTGCTGTATATATGTATATATATGTGCGTGTGATATTATTGCCCAGACATTGTTTACGTGACGACAAGTGTAATCGATTTAATCGTCATCACTAAAGATATCTAAAATGTCTAACACAATGTTTATTTCTGTCACGAAATGTTCCACGAATACTTTACTCGGAAGACTTATATAACTTACTATATAATTTCCTCGACATTATTTTCAATTGTTCAGATAAATGTTTTCTGCTAGTTATACGATCTTTTCATAAACTGAATAGCACAGCGTAACGAATACTTCAGCAAAAAGTAGAATAGAATGTAGTCTACTGCAAAATTCAAAACTTCATTGGATATTTAACTTTGAATCAAATGTGCTATAGAATAGATCAAATAGGCTCAAAATTCAAAATTCAGTTCAAGTTTAAGAAGGGCGGGTTTGTTTCGAACAGTTTGTTCGAGTTTCAAATCGTCGAAACAATTTGCAATTGTTACGTCATTGATTATTTTCAATCGATCATCGCTATATATATATATATAAGTATGAAGTTTTCTCGTTTGATCGTATTTATCTTACCTATGAAACCTTTCACAAAAGCAGCAATGATTGATTAAGCTTTTTCGCCACACCGACTTGTGAATGTTCAAACGTGGCCAATTTTCGTTAATCGGATGTTATGCCTAATCATCGTGATTCAAAATCACTAATCGACAATAAATAATTATTTGAATCAATTAAGACATTGTATTTACTACCAAAACAAGTTTGAAACACAGTTCGTGATGTGCGGAAAGCGATATTTAGATTATGAAGGGTGGAAAAGTTCGTCGTGTAAAAATTGTAATTGGAGATGTTCGGTACCTTTCCGAGACACATTCCGAGGTAGATTTTGGACGCTGGGGGTTGAGGTTGTTGAGGAGAAGTTTATGGTGTAAATTGCAATAGTTGACGACTGGGACTCCGGTTTCAACCCAAGGCTAGCTATTTTGTCATCAGCACCATATATATGATGGTTTACAATACATACAGAACGACGTATAAAAAAAATTGGGACCCTCCTAAACTTATGCGCATCAAAATGGCGCACAACCTGATCTCAGATTGTGTACCAGGTTAGGGTTCAGGTTATGCGATATCTTGGTGCGCATACTTCAGGAGTACCAAACATTGTATTAAAACGGAAAAATATCGGGCCTGTTGACTGCAAGTAGTATGATTGAAAATTAACAATAATCATTGATTCAGTATTTTCCAGCTTTTACTTGCTTGTTATCATAATAGATTTATCTAAAACAATATGTCTATCCCGCGACACATGGTAACAGGTAAGACATAAGCATCATGTATATGTAAGATATAGATTTCCTACTATATATATATTTTTTGGAACTTGAAGCAGCTTTGACTCAATATTTATGGACGATTTACTCAATATCGCAGAGTGGAATTAATTTTACCATCACTGTAGGAAAATGCTGACTAACTGTAAACTTCTAGTAATATGTCAGTTGATTTTTGTGTGGCAAACACCGTAAATTTAACCGCAAATTTTTATCCAGGTGACCCGTTCCCAGAGAACATACCCGGAAAGATTCGGCTTTACAGCATGCAATTTTGTCCTTTCTCAATGAGAGTGAGATTGATGTTGATAAAGAAAAAAGTCGAGTGAGTTATTTGATTGTTTTGTTATAAGAAGTATTTTTACTACAGATCTGCAATATATTTGTGCTACTGTTGCGCTTTTGAAAGAAATTATATATATCCCTTGGTTTTTGATGGATGCCTGTTGATTTGGCAGTTGGCGTAACGTGGTAAATGTAAAAATACGCCCTTTCCTCTGATGTCCAGCAAATTACTATTCTCAAGTATGCCTCGATGGTAGTGATCATAGCAATCGTTTTTATTTTATTATTTTAGATTTGAATACGTCAATATTAATCTGAAGAAAAAACCTGAATGGTTTCTGGAAAAGTATCCGATAGGTTCGGTTCCCGTATTCGAACTCGATGGCAAACTTATTGCAGGATCTTTGGTACTTGCGGAATACGTGGATGAAGTCTATTCTAAGCAAGAAGAAAGAACAATTCCACAAGATCCTTACAAAAAGGCGAAAATTAATATGATGATCAGCGATCACCTTGCTAAAGTAAGCGTTTTCTGAGAAAATCTAGCTTTGGTTCTATCTTTAAAACAGCAGAAAAGCATAGACATGTGCTGCTAGGCATGGACTACATTTTATAATGCCCAGTATTTATTGATACATTATTTGTAAATTTTCGTTCAACAATCATCAATTTGTCTATACTTTCAAAACGCATGGAGGTATATTTTATTCCTCATTTGGTAGAATTACAAATATAAAAAGTAAAGTTGCCATGTCGCTTTTGACATTGGGAGTAATCAACACACTGCAATTATTTCTAGGCGGTAGGTCCAATATTAGATCGATTTTATCAAAGAGAAGTTGACGTAAAAAAATTTGAAAAAGCGATAGCAAATCTGGAGAATATTCTTGGTTCACAAAACTTTTTCAGTGGAGAAAAGTTGGGATATGCTGACTATATGATATGGCCGTGGATGCGGTATTTAGGTAAGCTGCAGATCTTTTCTGGGTCTCACTTTACAATATTTTTACCGATAGTCTTGGAAACCTGTTTGTACAATTTTTTCCCAATTTCTCCATGTAATTATTAAACGATGTTAGATGATATCGAATAAATGATGCTGTAGCCTATTGCTTTTATGTCAGAACTCGAATGAAACGGATTTTAGGCAATTTATGTTTTGGAGTTTTATACAAAAGGCCTACTCTCATAGTATGTGTACCAGGTTAGGGCCATAATTTTATTCCGATTTTCCTTATTATACTTATATCACGAGTCCGTGGACTGTCTGTGTTAGCCAAGTGAATATCCTCCCCCTGCCCATAGGTTTCAGTCCCTTTACACAACTTGATATAAAGTAAGCGAACAAAATTAGTCACCATACATTTATTCCGATTTTCTTTATTTTATTTCTATAACGAGTTCATGAACTGTCTGTGTTAGCCAAGTGAATATCCCCTTGTCCATCGGTTTCAGTCTCTTTACACAACTTGATATAAACTAGGCGAGCAAAATTAGTCACCTCCATATTGGTACACATACTTCTGGAGCGCCCAAAAGTGTTACATTCAAACTATAATATCCAACCAGATACAGTGAAATTATTTATATATACAATGTAATACAGATCCTCTAATCATCGATGGCGTGGTTGGTAGTGGCAATTACCCGAACATAGAGAGGTGGAAACAGGAAATGCTGTCTGATGAAACAATTCAAAAATGTCGCGTGAAACCAGAGAATATTGCCAGATATAGGAATTCTGTAAAAACAGGAAAACCAGCGTATGATCAAGAGTAACACAATGTTATTCCCACATCTATTGAATACCTGTCACCTCAAAATGACTGCAATTTGCTGAAGTGCTTCAAGAATTTTGTCAATGCTTTCTTTCATAGCCTTACCTTCTCATGCAAATTTCTATTCATATAAGAGGGCATATATATAATTTGGAAATGAAACCTGCATCTCGTTAATTGACATAAACTGTACTATTAGGAAGAAAGTATAAACGTACTCTCTTTAACCATGGTTAGCATCTTTTAATCTTGTTGTAACAGATCTATAACAATATTTTTGCAATACTTTTAGTTAGATAATATTCAAATTACACTCAGGCAAATGGGTAGCCTAGGGGCCTCGTCATGCAGATCCGATCTATTATGTTTTTGAATGAACTCAACATGCTATCCAATCCCCTTAGATTTCGTATTCACGTAATTTCAAATTTATTTATGACGCCATAATGAATTAATGGCGTTTTATTACGTAATTGTTAAAGAGGGGTCTTACAGATGACAAAGCTGAGGAGGGCTACTTTCGTCTAAACTAAATTCATCCTGGCCTAGGTCCATTAACTTCTTACTCCAATATATTCATTTCTCAAATTTGCAAATTAGTTTCCTTTTTTTGCTTCGATATTGTTACGCGACATGCGACAGACTGTTGCTGTTGGAGTCTTCAATGAAACTACCAAAAAGTGCGGGAATGTGGAAGAAACAAAGGCAGCAGCAAAGGCCAATAAAAAATACGGAAAGAAGTGACTGGAAGCATCTAGCGCCCATCAACAACCAAAACCTAAAAAAATCGAATGCTTAGGTTCACCAACTTCTCACTCTAATATATTTATTTCAGGCCATTGTAAGTTATGACAATGAAATAGTTCCAAACTAGACATCATATAGTGTAGCCCTTATTTCAATCGTCTGCTTAGGTCAGTACCATTAGGCAAGGTAGGCTAAAGTCTAGTGGCCTTGTCATGCAGTTTTGAAATATTATGTTTTTAAATCGCCGGTCCGCGGAAAGATTACTACCGGCCCGATGAAAAGTGGCCGAATAGCGTACAAAGCCCTAATATACCACCTTTACAAACCAGACAAATACAACGCATCTGAGCAGCATGTCTGACTTCACAAACGATTTCCACGTCAATAGTTATGGCTAAGCAAACATCAAGAAAACAATTCTCGTATAACTGCGTCCCAAAATATCTGACGAAACTGAGAGTGTAGATATACCGGGAACATGATTCACGAAGAAAAAATAAAATACTTTGTATTTGTAAAGAAACTTCTTCGAACGATGCGATTGTTTCGTCGACGACGAGATTGTGTTATATAGGGCCGTTGACTCAAATTTCAAAGGATAATGAGTTAAAAAAGCATCTTTGCAAAATATACTTTGGCAGTTTTTTGGTCTATAATCTTATATGAATACCCAGACGCTTGCGACGCTGTTACCTTTGTCCTTATGTGAGGTCGGGTTTTCAATATTGACAACTACAAAAAGAAATACCAAAGTAGGCTGAACGTAAGAAACACGTAACGTTTATCACTGTCAACCATGGTTCCATATTGGGAAAATTAATGGCCGGAAAACAAATGCAGATTTCGCAACAAATAGCATCACCTTTGTTTAAATATATTGTCAGCACAAAGGTGGTCCGCCAAAATTATGGTCAGGCTTTTTACCGTTCCGTCACTTAAAAAAGGTTGCCGACCACTGTCCTAGAGGTCTAAATTCGGCCCTGCTAAAAGGCTATTACTTTTATTTATTACACAAATTTCTGTGGGCTCTATGCTTATGGGATATGGGCTGTGTACAATAAAGTCATCAAAATTGCGCACCTCGTGGCGATTCCGCGTTTCTGCTTTTTGGTGATCAGGCGAATTCGTGAGTACTGCGGTACCCTTAGTCTACTGTGAAAGATTGCATCAATATATTTGAACATCACTATCTTGTTTTTTTAGCTCATCGTAGAACGACCGCGATACTAAAGTATTCAAAAATTATAGCAAACTTGATGTGAATGTTCACTTCTACAAAATTGGATTCGATCGGCCACAGCTAAATTGTTGTACAATGTCGTCATATAGCGCCCGATTGATTACGTCACAGCCTGAGAGCGTTCGTCATGACTAAGGATGTCAAGTATGAGTACTTACAAGTATTCGATTCTTATCCGATTCCTAAATTTTCGATTCCGATTCTCGATTCCGAATCTCGATTCCTCGACATATCTTACCGAAAACACATACTGTATTCAATCTGTCACAGGAGACAAAATCTTTTCACAACATTTTAGTGACAGATTTTCCATTGTTCAGCACGAAATGCTATTTTGCGAAGTGCTTTTTATTTCACTTTTTGAATAAAAAAAAAAAAAATCCAAGTTTTAACCTCGAGAATCGATTCCAATGCATCGGAAGCGATTCTAGTCAATTCCGCAAAGAATCGATTCTGTACTCGAATCCGGACTCGATTCCGCCATCCCTAGTCATGACCCATAAAATGAAACTCATACAAATACACAAGCATGGTTCAAGTTCAACAGTTTGAAAAACAACAATGAGCGAAACTTTTTGCAAGATTTTTTAAGTGGGTCGAATGAATTAAGATTGCAGTCTATGTACTTCGCACTTGAATCGGTATCTATCCATGATTCACAGTTGCAAACACATAGATAGACGATAGAAATGACAATTGTGAGAAATATATATTATAATTTGATCGTACTCATAAAATTCCGACAAAGCATAATGTATATCATTATGATGCTTCATATGCGTGCTGCATTTACAGCTTGCATCTGTCAAGCAGAATATATTAATTGAACCCTGGTGAACGATATGTACCCGAATTGCCCTCAGAAAGAAAAATATACGACTAAAGATAATTGAAATGTTATCAATATGTTTGATATATCCCACGGCGACGTTGCGACATAGATAATATTCAATACTGAAACAGGATTCGCGGCATCTAACGGCAAGCTAGGTGTTTTCATCGAACTGACAAACCCGTATTAGAAAAAGTAGTAGAAAACTAAAACTTGGTCGCTGAGTATCTGTTGGCATTTCAAATCGCCTCGTAACCAAACTTAATATCAGCAATCCAATGGGTGGCGAGGATACTTGTGATGAAACGCCTGTAATAGCAACTATATATTGATTTAAATTATTGTGTACAGTCTATGCATGACTGGCTGCCTGCGTAAGAAGTTACATTAATTAGGATCCAGTGTACGAATTTACAGCATGAAAACTTTTTAATCTATTGTCTACATCCCATTTATTTTTCTCAAATTTATTTTATATATACTATTTGATACTGTCATGCTACCAATACTTGTTGTCCCCTGCGAGATAGCCGAGAATGTAAGTCACCCAAAACATAAAATCTTTATTGTACTATCGAAAAATACACTTGGGCGGTAACAAATGAAAATATCTAATCAGTACTTTTTGTTTTACCTGATTGGAATTCGTTGTATTAGGACATAATGCATGATTCAATGTTAATTAACTGGATTAGCTTTTGCTGTTGGAAAAGTTATAAGAAAATATTTAGTGAAAGACGAATCGTATTACAATCTATATATATATATATATGTCACAAATCGTGTTATGTAGTCGATAGAAATCTACAAAAAAGCTGTGCGAGCTCACCTTTTTGAATTAAAATGAACATCTAATCTATTTTTGAGGGTAGCCTATATAGCCTATACAAGATTTACTAAAAGATTTTATATGAACTTTGGTAGGCTTAGACCGCGTTTGCAATCATATCTACTATCTCAGCTCTACTCTACTACAGAGACGGATTGCGCAAGTATATTCATGAAAGCACAAAATTATTATTAAACTAAACTAATCGAAAACTTCACAGCGCATTACATACAGTAAATCTTGAAGAGTAGAGTTATTTGTTTTGCAGTATATATTTATATTTGGTATTCGTAATATAACAAATCACAGATGGCTTTGGCTCATCCACCACACTTGAAACGAGGTAAAATGTCTTTCATTTTTTCCAAGATATTCCATATGAATGGGATGAAATTGAAACAAACAAGAAATGGACTTTTAGTGACGTTTTTCCTAACAACAAAATCACTTCGACAACAATTCCGCAAAACAATCCATTTCGTGGTATGCTTATTTGAAGGCAGTCTGCCAGCTGGACACAAATTGTTATTATGTTGCCAAGAGTTGAATTTCAAATAGTTGAGCATTAAATTTGTGTTCCAAATTGAATTCCAGGCGATCCATTTCCAGAAAAAATTGCGGGAAAACTTCGACTATATAGCATGCAATACTGTCCCTACTCAATGAGAGTGCAAATGATATTGGCGAAGAAGAATGTTGAGTACGTTTTTATGCTACTTTTATGAGTATAGTTATCCATTGTTATATATATTCATTTATTAATACCTTTAAGATCTGGTGTCGAATATATTAATCTATAAAAGTCACCTTGCCAAGTTACCAAAATCTAGACAAATTAGAATAATAGACTTCGAACGAAAGTCAAAAGGACATATGGGAATAACATATCAATCGCGTTGTACAGCGGTTGGGTCCCTGATATGTAAAAACGTTGTGTCCTCATTGCCAATTTCCTTTTCCAAAAACAAAAAACTAATAGCTTATTTCGAAATGAATAAATCTTTTGATAATCTGTTTTAAAGAGGTTTTATTGTGATAATTTTAAAAGGGGTTTACCTTGTTAAGAAAAAAACTTTTTAAGGCTGAATCCATATGAAAATAGCACAGTCTTTGTTGTGAACGCCCTTGTCTTTGTGAAACGAGCACGTAGTTTTCGAGATAGAAAAGCTATATCCCCTTTAGAAAGGGTGTAATCTAATAATATATGGACATGGACGTAAGGCGAAAAATGCCTGAATAGGGCTTGGACAAAACAAATTGGCTGCGTGTCTATATTAATTGGGATTTTTTTTTCAGTTACGAAATTATTAATATTGATCTACTAAACAAGCCAACATGGTTTATGGAAAAATATCCATTCGACTCTTTTCCGGTTTTGGAACAAGATGACATACTTCTTGCGGGATCTCTTGTAATCGCAGAATATATTGATGAAAATTATTCCAAGCCGGGTGAGCGCACTATTCCACAAGATTCTTATGAAAAGGGAAGAATAAATATGATGATTGTGGATAAGTTCACAAAGGTACGTTGGTGTTGTTTCTGTACTCTGCGATTTCATAAATGAAACACTATAACATTTCATATATCGTCTCAAATTTGTAGCATCATAGAAATATTGTTTTGTATTCTGTTTTAAGACATGTCATGTGCCCCAACACAATCTTTCGCAATCATTCAATTACATTCCTTTTATATAAAATATATATATATATATAAGTGTATTTTTTTACAACGCCCAAAATATGAGAATTGCCACTTATACTATAGTTGGGTTATTTTACCCTTTCATCTTAGAACAACTTTTACAATATAATTTTGTTTTCATCTTGGGCTTTTTCAAGCAAATCTTATTAACATCCTTAAGATGTTGTTGCAATTCCTTTGCGCACCATATTGTTTTTATAACCCGTGAGCGAGCCGATACAGTAAAGTATAAAGTACCACACATATATTTTTCAATGTGAAGTACGACACTGTTTTTATCCAACTCGTTTGCCAATATTCGGTGCGATGGAGGATGAGGCAATGCGAAGCGAATTTTTTTTTTTATATGATTGTCAGAGAGGAGTGAGATTTGACATGGTTCAACCGTGAAAAAACATGCTCATACAAGTAAGTAATGTCGAATATTGAGGCCCTGAAATTTGTCTGTTTTAACTTCACAGAAAAAAGGGCAGAAAACAGATTGAAATACATGGTAGACGATAAAAATAAATTACGATATCAGGGGTTGGACGACCCTGATTTAAAGTATTTCGGCTTGATACTTCCGAACGAGGAATAAGCAGACAGTCAAGTATTGAAAATTTATCTTCTTAATATATTATTTTTTAGGCAATCAGTGCTATTTACCAAGGTCTGAGAAAAAAAGAAAACTGGGAGGAAAACTTCAATATACATGTTGGTGAACTGGAAAAAATTCTTGAAACAAACAAATTTTTCAATGGAGAAGAATTAGGATATGCTGATTATATGGGTGAGGTTGAATATCATGAAATACATCAACAAAATATTACAACTGCAAACATTTTGCATTTAACAAACTAATGAAAATGAGCGCACAGAAAGAGCTTATCAGATCAGATAAGCTTTCTTGTGCTGAACTGATGATACTTGCATAATTTATCATAGCTGCCACCGATTAATTTGTACGATGACGGGTCAATCCAGGGCTATGGATGCTAAGTATGGACATTTTCAAGCATTTGATCTGATATGAGTCCTGAACAACTTATTCCACGTAATTTTTGCCAAAATGTCATTCGTATTCAAATGCTTTGATTTAGTATTGGGGAGCTCCAATTATCTACCAGAATTAAAGGCGTTTGATTAACATGAGATTGTTCTGCCAATTCGCTTTTGAGTCGTACACTCAAGTGCCGAAATATATATAGTAAAGTATTATCTTATAGTGTATCAACAATACACTGCGGTTTTCAAATCCAACAAAAGCATAGCAAGCATATAATACAGTCATAAAACCCCACCGTTCACTTGACGCTTTGGTGACTTTTTCGAAAGTGGAATAACATGTTGTACATGGTAACTGCGAAAAATAAATGATTTGGGTGTATCGTAGATTTCCGTTGTCGAGACCGAATAAGTCGTCATAAATCGTTACCTTATTCCGGCTTATTTACATAGGCGGTAACAAAAGTTTATATGAATCAAATATCTTTTAACGTAGTACTTGATTCGCAAGGCACTTTTGACAATGACTATAAATTATCACTACCATATTATAAATACCATGGTGCAAAATTTAATTGTATTTTGTCTAAGTTAGATCTATATAGAAATCGGACGTTAAATTTGCGTTAAATTTCGATTTTTGAAATAGTAGTTGCAAATATATTAAAAGTATAAAAAAGAAACTAGGACAACATTTTCTGTATATATTTTCAGGTCATCAAGGAATCGACGATGTTATGTCCACCGGTAAGTTTACGAAATTAGAACAGTGGTTGAAAACAGCAGCGCAAGAAGAAACCATCAGAAAATGTGATACAAAGCCAGAAATTCTCGGGAAGTTTTTAACTGGATATACCACCGGAACTTTTGATTTTGATTTCAACATATAGTACAACAACCTATCTTTCCACATATTTGCTTATTTTTTAAAATTTAGCTATAGTAATTTATACACCTCTCAGAGGAAATAGGAGAAGTTGTTACCAGATCTATTAAAAATACGTAATACATGTCGTTACTCAAATTGTATGTATGTGCTTGAAACTTACATCAGATTTTTACCGTTCAACTACTATCCGTGTAATATTCTTAAATTGACAGCTAAAAAATAGGCGCTACAGAAGTGTGTGTACAAATACGGAGGTAACTAATTTTGTTCGCCTACTTTACATCAAGTTGTGTAAAGGGACTGACACCTATGGGCATGGTATATATTTACTTGGCTATCACAGACAGTCCCCTAGCTCGTAACAGAACTAAAATAAGGAAAACAAGAATAAAATTATGACCTAACCCTAACCTGGTACACACACACTACGGGAGTACCAAAAGAAAACTAGTCAATTTGCAGTTGTTGCCCATCGAGAGGGTCAATAGTGTGAAGCAAAACAAGTTTGATAAGTACGACATATTGGTGTCTAGAAGCGGGTTTATAGATTTTTTTAGACAATCCATATAGATCATGTCATTAGTAACAGCCCGCACTGCACATAGCTTACAGTCCAGTGTTTCCCAACTTTTTTTCTGACAGCGCCCCCTTGGGTAATCCTGACAAAAAAGTTAAAATAACTTTATTCTATATTCATCATTAGTATAATGTGAGGGTTGAGCCTAGTGAAATGCCACCAGCTTATTAGTATCTGACTCCATTTAGTCAGAAATAGTTTTGAGTCTCTTCGCCTGACATTGTCGGAGGGATTTATCTTGCTATCTAAAAGTGTTGTAACGGCACTAAACGTACGCTCTACCAAGTATGAACTGGCAAAGTTAATAAACTGTTATCCCACATGTAAGGATATTTCAATTTTATTGTGTATCCAGGAAGATGAAATACTAAACATTAATTTCAAAGCACAGTTCCAATGGTGCATTTTCGCTTCTGGAAATTTAGGGTTACCCAAAAAAGAAAACCAAAAATTTCTTAATTACTTCCACGAAAATATAAAAAAAAAATTTATTTGCGCTTGAAATTCTGTATGTTTATGATTATGTCCAGAAATTTTAGAAATGTAGAATGATTTGTAAAAAATATTATGTCTTTCTAAGATATTTTGCAAATTACCTCCTTGGCGTTAGACACGGACTTACATACGTTTGCAGAGACCGTACCGTCGTTCTATTAATATTCTTCCTCCCTTTCATTATAAACGTCGTAGTACGGTGTGCTATATATATATATTCGTCACGCTAATAACCGAATTGCGTAAGTCATTTTTGGCGATTTTTGAGTTTTTTATAAAATAGGTATTTATGTAATGCTGCGCACCTGTCTGTTAACTCAGATTTTATTTTAAGAATTCCGAAACCCATAAAATGGAGATTTAGTATGACATGCACATTTGTGCAATTGTTTCGTCATAATGAATTATCAGTGTTACCGCAGGACTATTTTTACCTCGAAGAGGCAAAATAACCTTGGCGAAGTATTTTCGAGTTTTTGCATCTCGGATTCTAGCTTAGCGCGTATTAATTTGAATTTATACTACAGTGTAAAAAGATGTGCACTTGTGATATTCACTGACGAGTCCAATTCACCTTGTTTGGCTTTTATATTGGCTGCATTGCTGTTTTATTCTTTATATTAAATCTTAGTCTTATTTCGATGGGTGTGCAGAACGTGTTATATTGATGAAATATATATTTTTAAACATAAAAAATGATGTAATTGAAACTGATTAGCTGACATTGTAGATACTGAGAATTACATTCGTTCTTGAAATGTTTGGTTTTCAGGACTGGTGCATATAGTAAAGTTGCAAAATTGCGTATGTCCCCAAGTCATAGACACATTCTGCCTAGTCACAGTGCGCCATTATGACGTCACTTAACTGCGTAATACAAATTAACTTAAATCCGGCTACGATCAAAAAATTGAACCATGGCAACATATTGACTCTCAATGGCATAACCATATCATTAGGAAGTTTTTTACGTTTTTCTCAAAACTGCTAAAAATGACTTACGCAATTCGGTTATTAGCGTGACGATATACGTCTGCTATATATACTTGTTCACCTCTTCGAATACAGTATCACAGTGTTAAGTTCCGAGAGATTTATTAAGAGCAGTGTAATATAAATACCTAATATAATATACTTAAGTCAATTCTGTCCTAACTCGTTCGGTACTCCGTTTTCTCCCTTTCAAGCGGCAATTCGCCGACTTATATATTCCACAGCACAGATGGGCCGCCAAAAGTGTCACATTACCACTCATTACTTATCGATTTTAATCGGTAAGTATGTTGATAGGTATTTGTCTGTCTGTCTGTTAGATGCACGCGATATCTCATGAAGGCTCCAAATTTTGCATGTGCATTCATCATATCTCGGACCAGAAGCCTATTGATTTTGGATGAATTCTGTCGTATAATTAGCGAGTTATTAATTAATTAGTGATGAAGAGATTTGGATTTTTACAAAGCGAGGGATTTTCGAGACGCGCTGAATGTGTGTGTGCATGTCCGATGCGCAAGTTTTCACGCTAGTGAGTCGGAGCGAAGGATACACACCGCTAGATCGTATCTCGTGATTAATCTTTTAAGCATTGTCCATATCTCTCTTGTAACTTTGACGTCGTCGCGATGCGCAAGTTTCCTTTGAGAAATTTTCCACGCTATTGAGTCAGAGCGAAGGATACACGCCGCGAGATCGTATCTCGTTACTTATAATTACTTGTTAAAGTTTAAGCAATGTCCATATCCCTCTATCAGGTTCGGGGTTGCAGAATTCCTCACCAAAATATCGCTAAGCTGTGTTTGAATAACCGTCGCAACCCGGGTTAGCGCCGTTGTATTTGACACAAAATATAGGTTTGATAAATAGGCTATTGGCTGGAAACTAATCGAAACAATCCAGTTCGGATTTGCAGAAATCTTCATAAAAGTATTTCCTCGAGTAGTATTTCGACGACGACATGGGGAGTTGGCTATTGTTTCCTACATTTTTGATATTGGCTGAAAACAAATCAAAACAATCCAGTTCGGGTTTGCAGAATTTTTCGAATCGAAACTGCAGTTTCTGTTTTGGGGGATCCCCTAACTTTCGATCGGTAAGTCTTCGGTCTCTGACCGATATTCTCGTTTGTTTGTCGCCCCATCTGTTCAGTCGATCGAATCAAGGTTGACACTACAGGCTCCGCTGTCACGGTATTCGCACGATTAGGTGAAGTTATATTGAATGACAATAGAGGGTGGCCCACAGATACCAGCACGTTTCGCAAATTTGTCAATCGCTCACATAGTTTTCTTCTCCAGCACATGTAAATAGCAACAATAATGTTTACCGGGGCACAGCTCCTCCAAAGAAAGATCTTTACTTTTAGTATAATGCACGACATGGGTAATCATTTTAAAAAATGACATGATCGGTCCGTATTGATTTGAAGCCAAAAATGAAAGTCTGTCTCCAATGCCGAGGGGGTTCACCATGTATTTAATTCAATTTATAATCTAAATTAGTTGAATATCTTGCTTAGGTCACTGTATTCGATATTGTCAACGTACGAAACACATATGATGAACCGACACAACAAGATATAGCAACAGACTAGACCAGCGTTTCCCAAACTGTGTTCCGCGAGCGTCTTCCGAGTGTTCCGGGAAAAATAAATCGAAAATACGTCTAAATGGGTCGCCATGGCAATCTAGGGATCGTGAAGTTGTCGCCCAACTGACCGTTCAATATCGCGTCACCGTCGGTCTAAAGCGGACTAACTAAGGTGGGGTAGTGGCATTTTCGTTAACCATCGGCCTAGCTTTTTGACTGAGAGAGAGATTTATTATTTGTCAACCAGAAAAACAAATACAATGATAATAATATTAAATATAAAGAAATTGAAATAACGTTTCTTCGGTATGGGCTGGGGGTAGCGATACGACCGTGCGAGTCAGCTCCCACCATGTTCGCACCAATTGAAATAAGTCCACAGTAAAAATATTTATTATTATAAAGCGGTTATAAATTCTAGAATTCTGTATCTTTGTTCTGTTAAGTTCATTATCAAGTTTGCAGCAATCCTTCTGGTTTTGCTATAGGCAATCTAGTAAGTCTAAAGAATACAGGTAAATGGTCAACTCTTCTTCCACCATCTCTGTCTGGTTTTACTTTAAAATGCTGGAAAAATTACTCATGCTCGTTAAACTCAATTCAGCAGATAAATAAACTGCAGCTCGCAAACATGCAGCAAGTACTTACTTTCTCCATTAGACGCAACATTAGAGGCAAGCACTACATAATGGAAAGTAAACGACATAGAAAGGTAAAATGAATTTGTTGATTCATATACACAGCATTCAAATTAAAAAACAATAAAGCATTTGTAGTACTGCTACATTACACCGTTTTTTTTTTTTATCAATTTTACCCTTCCATTTTTTGGTGTTCCGCGAGGCGAGATAAAAAGTGTGAGTGTTCCGTGGCCGAAAAAGTTTGGGAACGCTGGACTAGACCTTCGTCGTGTACCAATTTAGGTATTACTTACGTAGCCTTGGTATTCGATAACCCGAAAAGGAATGAATGAAAGAGTTAAATCGCAACGTGGGGATCGTCCTATCTGACATACGCCGTCCCAATCTGATGGTTCAGCTCTCACGTGTTGTTCTTAACAATGCCAAAGTTATAAAATAAGGGCGCTGTACCTAAACTACCGCTTTTAAGCATCTTAGAACTTGATAGTAAAATAAAGCTGCTCAATGAATAATTGCTCAAATCGTCATCAGCGCCCCGCCAGTTATCGCAAACGCCAACAAGGGGGCGTTTCCGCCCACTTTGGCAACCGATGGCCTACATAATATGTGACAGTGGCCACGACGAGAGCTCGTGTGCGTGAAATGCTTTGTGATTTTAGTCACAATGACAAAGCAAAAACGAAATTCATAATGCCTGTCGCATGACACCTCTGCAAATACTTCCCTGAACAGAACGTGACAAAGCAATATATATGTGCGCATATTCTAGTTTAAACTGATTCGATTCTTCCACATGACTAAGCATTGGATGGTTTTAGTATATAACATCAGTATCTCGCAATGGACAACGTAACAAAAATCTGATCGATCAGATTGCGGAACTGCATTTATTTGATCTGTTGAAACTGACGAGTATCCTAAATAATAATAGTGGAATAGTATTTGGTGGAAGTTTTAGTGCATTTTCCGTTAACATGTAGAGATCGGATAGGATTGACTGACAAAGGTTTGACTGACTTGTAAACAGAAAATGTAGCAAACGATCACGGTTCTAAGGTTAACCCCAACGTTATTGAATAGAGCCTAAAAAATCTCTAGTTGATTTTTATTTGTAATTTTCGACAACATACAGAATACAATCCTGAAGCATGTATCTAGAGTAGACTATCTTCAAAAAGATATTACCTAGTACATATCCATTTCCCTGAAAGCTCAAATTGTGTGATAGGTTCCTACGAAAACCAGTTTGTATTAGAGATTTAAGAAAAAGTAACTTTGTTTACATGATTTTTACTCAAATTGCGGTAAATTTGTAGTTTCCGCTGCTATATTATTTCCCCGCCTACAGCTTCCGGAAAGTTGGAAAATTTGACGTCTTCTGATAAATTATTTAATATACAAACAAAAACAAACAAATAATATATGAAGGTAAAATTAATGGTATAAATATTCCCATGTATATAATTTGCAATGGCAAAGGGAATTGGAATAAACATAATTTTCAATTCAATTTAGTTCGTGACACTAACATAGTTTATTGCTCGTATTATCGCATTGTTTCCATTTTGTGACCTAGTTGGCTTGTATATTTGTCCCATGTCGGTTGAAATAGCACATTCTTCAAGTTTATTAGGCAAGCTTTGGGCTTTTATATGAAAAAAATGACGCTTCTAATAAAATTTACGTTTAGACGAGCTCATTTCATCACCATGATATATATTGACGGCATTGTAGATATTTAAAAAAATGACTCGTCTATTCAATCGAAAAGGGTCGTTATCATCCGCCATTTTTCAATTATTTCGAACCCTTGAAAGCCGTTTAAAATAAAAATATTTAAAGTCTACTATCCTCAATGAACTCATATAAATTAAAATCTTAGGAATAGAGGAAGTATGAAGAATATATCTCCCAATGAGAAGAAAAACTTGTGGATCATGGAAAACCAAATGTTGAATCCCGTTTCACTGAGCTGTCTATTCATTATTAGGTATTCGCGTCGGTGTATCATTTGTGATAGACCCAATTACAAAAATTCGTGTAAATTTGGTGTTTCTGTTACTATAAACTTTTGGGGGTTTCCGGATCGTCTGCTATAGTTCATTGTAACGGCACAGTATGAAAAATTCAATCCTTAAATCGCGATAAAATAAACTTTTAAAAATCAGTATTTGAATTATTATCGATTAAATATTCCCTCATCAAAGACTCGTCAACAAAGAGCCGGACCTCAAATATTGACAGCAAATATGAGCTTTTCACAGAATGACTCTGCATAATTTGAATTGAAGTGTACACAATGCCTGATTATATATATATATATACATGGATTGCCTCGGTCGATTGGGTCGAAATGCAAATGGGAACCTTTGAATCTGGTATTAGACTAATGAAGACTATGAAACGTGAAAGACTGAGATTTTGCAAAAAAGCAATTTAGACTCACTTTTACGTCTACCTTACGTCTACTTTTAATTTTGTTAAATTAGTAGCAAGGAATGAATACAAAATTTAAAAGAATGCATAAATTGATTATAGCGTTATAGCGTATTGTACCTTCACGAATATACCAGATTTAGAATATGTCAAGTAGTTAAAAAATATAGTAGTTAAATTAGCAAGGAATCCACCACAAAAATTTCAAAGAATCACTTGAACTTTATTTTGATTATCAATTTAGGTTATATATTTATAGTTATTATTAAACCATTTCAAGATGTCAAAAGATATTTCACCACATTTGAAACAAGGTAAATGTATTTACAGTAATTTTAAAGTTCATAACAAACGTATATAGTTTAATGAGCAGACAGCATATAAAAAGATCGGTAAATTAAAATCCACTTTACTTACCCGTATGTTATGCCATAAAGTTTCGATCATTTGATATTCAGATCTGGGTAATGCTTCTTCTCTGGCCATGTCGTCGAGTAAGATGTTACAGTGTTTGTCTCAATGTTTGCCATATATATTATTAAAATGGGGCGTAGCCAGGGTGGGGGGCGTACCCCATGGGTCAAAAGTATTTATTTTTTTCGTAGCTCGAAACACCAGCCGGACCGACTATAGCTGTTACGGTATCACTCGGGAATTAAAATTTTCAGATCCCCCCTCCTCACATCGAAATTTCCTGCCTATGCCAATATGTCACGTGCTACCAAACACCCAATTTTATTTTCACTTCCAGGCGATGCTTTTCCCAAGAAAACAAAAGGTACACTTCGGCTTTACAGCATGCAGTATTGCCCATATGCAATGAGAGCTCGTTTGATGCTAGCAAAGAAAAATGTAGAGTAAGTTGTTCGGAATCTTTTTATGAAAGTCAAATTAAAGAAGCACGTTTTGTCAGTAGAACAATGAACATATATCTGACATACTTATTGTATTTATTGTCAGAAATGGCCGATTTTGCAACTGCTTGATCGTGGTTCATGTACTTCTTACCGCCCGCGTTTTTTATATTTAAGACAAATTATTGTATTCAATTCATCAATATGATTCATACCTTATTCAGACATGAAGTTGTTAATATTCATCTCCGAAATAAGCCAACATGGTTTCTGGAAAAGTATCCAGTCGGAACGGTTCCAGTGATCGAAAAAGATGACAGACTTCTTGGAGGATCCCTCGTAATTGCAGAATTTATAGATGAAGTTTATTCAAAACCAGGTCAGCGACTGCTTCCACAGGATTCTTACGAAAAAGCGAGAATTAAAATGCTGATTGACGATACATTCTCAAAGGTATTTGTACTATACTATAGTATGCAAAAAACGTCTATTCATCACAATGTTACCTCGACGCACAATATTACCGTATTGTGTTGGATTAAAAGTATTGTCTACTGCTGAATTATAGGCAGAAACGAAAAGTTTGAAATCGGATTCCATTCTATTTGGATGTTGCAACAAGTTTCGTGCATCATTTTTCTGGTGTTCGCATGGTTGGAGGGCCGATAAACAATTACCAGGGGATTTGCCGTGCGCCTCATACTATTTTCTTCCAATCTCAAGATTTACTAATTCATACGGAAGCACAGAGTAATATCGTTATCACGAAAGGAAGTATTATTTTTTTCAATATATTTTAGGCAATCACGTCGATTTACCAAGCTATTGGGAAAAGAGAAAACTGGGAAGAAAGCTTTTACCCGCGCGTTGGTGAGCTGGAAAAAGTTCTTGAAGCTAACAAATATTTTGGTGGGAAAGCAATTGGATATGCCGATTATATGATCTATCCATGGCTCAGACTTCTTGGTGAGTTATCAATACCAATCAATGTTTCGAAGACGAAGGCTTAGCGTGCAAAGGTCTTTCATACAGACGGATGGTAGTTTGCTGCAGAATATTTCATGTCATACGCCCAAATGCACCAAAATAAATCTAATTGGCTGATCGTTCATGCTTCACAGAAATAAATTATAGATTGATTCATATAATAATGCAAAAGATCGATGCTGTACTTAAAAAACAACATACGTTTCTTTCTATTCCCAGGTCTTCACGGTATGGACAACGTTTTATCTGCTGGAAAATTTCCAAAATTGGGACAATGGTTAAAAGAAGTTGCCCAAGATGAAACAATTAAAAAATGTGATACCAAGCCAGAAATTCTCAGCAAATTTTTGAATGGTTACTTGACCGGGAATTTTGTTTATGATTTAGAGATCTAATCAAAATCTTACATTTAGTTCCATACACGCATACTTTTATATGATATATGAAAATAAACAACACGACCTATTAGCGATCGTTGTATAACTTGATTTTTTGCACTGTATTTACGCAAGACAGAAAAGGAAGACAGTGCAAATGGGAATTGACACCAAATATGTATCCCTATTTTTGACTATGCTGTTGCCTTGCTTGAGCAGATTCGATGGTCAAACTAAAATCGCCGAGAACAGAAACACATCTGTTGGATATTCAAACCAGATACCAGTTCATCAGAAATATACAACACAAACGAAATCTCACACTGTTGGCATATAAAGTGAAAAATAGTGGGTTTCGAAGATGGGGTTTTGGATGCTAACATCAGTTTTAGTTGTCATGCGTTGAATCCACCGGGTTCGAGTGCAATTCGAAGCGGAAACTATTCGATTTTTACCCAGGCGACTACAGCACGTCCCAGTTTATCACGCTACAAATTAACTTCTCATTCAAATAAGAGATTAAAAATTTCGCATGATATGTAAAATTATATAATTTTCCTAACAGTTTGAAGGTATAACTTTCATGAAAAATAAAAAGGTTTTTTTGTTTCATTTGACTTTTGGTCCAGCTGTGAACTTTTTTCATATCTTTGTTCAGATAAAGTGAATCCAAACTCATTTCAACTTTCTGAATACAGAATCAACAGTCTCATTATATTTTCCGCCTCATGCGCGGAAGCCGGACATTATTTCTTCAGTCAGCTGTTTAAGTATAAGCTGATGGTGCTATAGGGCGATAATGACCCAATCTGCGCATTCACTCGCGTGTTACTGGGTTGAGTGGTTTGGGTTTAGTTGAGTATAACCCCAATCTGAACTCCTCAGAAGTCAAGCTGCCAAATGTTCGTATATTGCAAAGATGCACAATTGAATCCAGATACAGATGTTTTGAAAAACAAGTAAACCTTAATGCAGTTAAAGTTAGACGGTCGAATTGAAAGCAGAAAATCATAGGAACTTGAAAAACACTATTATTTCGACACTCGGACGAACCCGGAAACACACGTCATCGGTACTGAGAAGGCTATATGAACAAAGCTAGACTTGGAGCTGCTGCGATATCTCTCAATCAGGGAAATAGCTCAAGTGACCTATTTCCATAGAATTCAACATACTATTAATATTGAGGGGTTAAATAACGTTGAAATTCATAGTTACAATCCACAATCGCTACAGTATATGTACGGACTAGTGACGACATAACACTTTCTCATACAGTGTACTTGAATTGAAGAAATCCTTAATTTGAGTGTAGTTTAACAACGATTAATTGAAATTGAGCTATAAAATAGATGTCTGAGCACAACTTGAGTCGGGTGCAAGAGTAAAATGCAGTAAATGACAACTTGAAATTAACAGAAAGAAAGGGAAGAAAACTAAAATTGCAAGTTTTAGATGATGAAACGGCGTGTTCTGAAGAGCATTACCGTCCCTTCTTTGTGTGCTGTATATACATAGGATAGGATAGGATTTACATATTTATCCCAGGTGAGAGGAAAACCCATAGGAAGGCTTATCCATATGGCAAACCACGGCCTCTCGTCCGGTTACCATTCCAAGTCGGGTATGGGATTAGTTATATTGTTTGTTTTCGGAAGCATGGACTTGGTGGTGGAGGAAGCCGTAACCGACTAGCGGTTACGTGCACCACCCAACGACGGCGAGGAGTCCAGCAATCCTCTCGCGCATAAGCATCCCTGCATGGGATTCGAACCTGCGAACCCACGCAGAGTGATTAGAGATGCGGTGGCGAGCGTATTCCTAACGCTTAGCCCGTTGAGCCACGGCCACGTTGAGCCACGTTGAGCCACGGCCATCCACGGCCTTTATCTAAAAGAAAACGAATTCGTAAATGATACTGATTGACAATATCGAAATCAAGACTCGCATAACAAAAAGCCAGACACCAAGTATTGATATTCGATATGGGTCGTTCAAAGAATGAGTCTGCAAAACTTGAATTGAAATGATATAACTGAATTATCTCTGGTGCTGTACTCCTTCGAATAAATTCAAGTGGAACGCGTTTGAATCAGTTAAACTTTGAAGGCGTTGTGTTCCGAAGTTAGACTGAGATTCTGGATTAATACAATTTAGAATTTACCAATAAATACATAAATTATTCAGACTTTTGTTAATTTTGTTGCTAAAGCCAAAAGGTTACATGTAAGAAATACAGTATAACCATCAGACTTCCTATCTTTTTCCAGCGTTAGTGGATCCGTGGGAGTGTAATCTAAAGATTCCGTAACACAAATGTTATTTATGTGGACTATTTTTAATTTTGTTGTTGAAAGCTAACTAATAAGATTGAAGATATATATAATATTGATTTTTTACGGCGAGTGACATAACCAGCATTGAATTAGTAACAATAAATGGATACAAATTTAGAAAGAATACATCAATTGATGATAGCGATGACGTGAACAAGGTCAGAGTTCGTGTACCTTGTAAAATTGGCGAGAGTTGGATTACACTAAACATGAATAAAAATGCATTTTATTGAAAGTTTTACAGTTAAGATTGAGATAAATTGACGGATGTGCCAGAGTATGTCAGTTGTTAGTAGTTAACTTAGCAAGAAATCCACCCAAAAATTTCAAAGAATGACTCGAACTTGATTTTGAATATAATATCAATTTAGGTTAAATATTTATAGTTTCCATATAAACCACTTCCAGATGTCAAAAGGTATTTCACCACATTTGAAACAAGGTAAAGATATATATAAGTTTATACCAAACGTATATAGTTTAACATAAAATAAGATCGGTCAATTGAAAATCCACTTTAATCTTTCACGCAATATATCTAATTTATTACTTACCCGTATGATATGTCACCAAGTTTCGATCATTTGATATTTAGATCTGGGTAATGCTTCTTCTCCGGCCATGTCGTCGGTATCAATTGGAAATTAAAAATTTCAGACCTCCCCCCTCACATCGAAATTTCCTGCCTATGTCCATGTTGTCACGTGCTACAAACACCCAATTTTATTTTCACTTCCAGGCGATGCTTTCCCCAAGAAATCAAAAGGTACACTTCGGCTTTACAGCATGCAGTATTGCCCGTACGCAATGAGAGCTCGTTTGATGCTAGCAAAGAAAAATGTCGAGTAAGTTGTTTGGAATCTTTTTATGAAAGTCAAATTAAAGAACACGTTTTGTCAGTAGAACAATGAACATATATATATCTAACATACTGATTTTATTTATTGTCAGAAATGGCCGATTTTGCAACTGCTTGATCGTGGTCCATGTACTTCTTACCGCCCGCGTTTTTTAGATTGAAGACAAATTATTGTATTCAATTCATCAATAGGGTTCACACCTTTTTCAGACACGAAGTTGTTAATATTCATCTCCGAAATAAGCCAACGTGGTTTCTGGAAAAGTATCCAGTCGGAACGGTTCCAGTAATTGAAAAAGATGACAGACTTCTCGGAGGATCGCTTGTAATTGCAGAATTTATAGATGAAGTTTATTCCAAACCAGGTCAGCGACTGCTTCTACAGGATTCTTACGAAAAAGCGAGGATTAAAATGCTCATTGACGATACATTCACAAAGGTATGTGTACTATAGTATGCAGAAAACGCCTATTCATCACAATGTTACCTCGACGCACAATATTACCGTATTGTGTTGAATGAAACGTATTATTTACTGCTGAAATATAGGCAGCGACAAAAAGTGTGAAAACGTATTCCATTCTATTTGGATGTTGCAACAAGTTTCGTGCATCATTTTTCTGGTGTTCGCATGGTTGGAGGGCCGATAAACAATCACCAGGGGTTTTGCCGTGCGCCTCATACTATTTTCTTCCAATCTCAAGATTTACTAATTCATACGGAAGCACAGAGTAATATCGTTATCACGAAAGAGAGTATTATTTTTTCAATATATTTTAGGCAATCACGTCGATTTATCAAGCTATTGAGAAAAGAGAAAACTGGGAGGAAAGCTTTTACCCGCGCGTTGGTGAGCTGGAAAAAGTTCTTGAAGCTAACAAATATTTTGGTGGGAAAGCAATTGGATATGCCGATTATATGATCTATCCATGGCTCAGACTTCTTGGTGAGTTATTAATACCAATCAATATTTTGAAGACGAAGGCTTAGCGTGCGAAGGTCTTTCATACAGACGGATGATAGTTTGCTGCAGAATATTTCATGTCATACGCCAAATGCCCCAAAACAAATCTTATTGGCGGATCGGTCATGCTTCACAGATTGATTCATATAAAAATGCATAAGTTTGATGCTGTACTTAAAAAACAACATACGTTTCTTTCTATTCCAAGGTCCTCACGGTATCGACAACGTTTTATCTGCTGGAAAATTTCCGAAATTGGGACAATGGTTAAAAGAAGCTGCTCAAGATGAAACAATTAAAAAATGTGATACCAAGCCAGAAATCCTTAGCAAATTTTTGAATGGTTACTTGACCGGGAATTATGTGTATGATTTAGAGATCTAATCAAAATCTCACATTTAGTTCCATACACGCATATTTTTATATGATATATGAAAAATAAACAACACGACCTATCAGCGATCGTTGTATAACTTGATTTTTTGCACTGTATTTACGCAAGACGGAAAAGGAAGACAGTGCAAATGAGAATTGAGACCAAATATGTATCCCTATTTTTGACTATGCTGTTGCCTTGCTTGAGCAGATTCGATGGTCAAACTAAGATTGCCAAGAACAGAGACACATCTGTTGGATATTCAAACCAGATACCAGTTCATCAGAAATATACAACACAAATGAAATCTCACACTGTTGATATATATTATAAAGTGAAAAATAGTGGGTTCCGAAGATGGGGTTTTGGATGCTAACATCAGTTCTAGTTGTCAGGCGTTGAATCTACCGGTTTCGAATGCAATTCGAAGCGGAAACTTTTCGATTTTTACCCAGGCGACTACAGCACGTCCCAGTTTATCACGCTACAAATTAACTTCTCATTCAAATAAGAGATTAAAAATTTTGCATGATATGTAAAATTATATAATTTTTCTAACAGGCTGAAGGTATAACTTTCATGAAAAATAAAAAGGTTTTTTGTTTCATTTGACTTTTGGTCCAGCTGTGAACTTTTTCATATCTTTGTCCAGATAAAGTGAATCCAAACTCATTTCAACTTTCTGTATACAGAATCAACATTATCATTATATTTTCCGCCTCATGCGCTGAAGCTGTACATTATTTCTTCAGTCGGCTGTTCAAGTATAATCTGATGGTGCTATAGGGCGATAATGACCCAATCTGCGCATTCACTAGCGTGTTATTGGGTTGAGTGGTTTGGGTTTAGTTGAGTATAACCCCAATCTGAACTCCTCAGAAGTCAAGCTGCCAAATGTTCGTATATTGCAAAGATGCACAATTGAATCCAGATACAGATGTATTGAAAAACAAGTAAACCTTAATGCAGTTAAACGGTCGAATCGAAAGCAGAAAATCATAAGAACTTGAAAAACACTATTATTTCGACACTCGGACGAACCCGGAAACACACGTCATCGGTACTAAGAAGGCTATATGCACAAAGCTAGTGCTTGGAGCTGCCGCGATATCTCTCAATCAGGGAAATAGCTCAAGTGACCTATTTCCATAGAATTCAACATACTATTAATATTGAGGGGTTAAATAACTTCCATAATCCATAGTTGCAATCCACAATCGCTACAGTATATGTACTGACGAGTGACGACATAACACTTTCTCATGCAGTGTACTTGAATTGAAGAAATCCTTAATTTGGGTGTAATTTAACAACGATTAATTGAAATTGAGCTATAAAATAGATGTCTGAGCACAACTTGAGTCGGGTGCAAGAGTAAAATACAGTAATTGATAAATTAACTGAAAGAAAGGAAAGAAAACTAACACTGCAAGTTTTAGATGATAAAACGGCGTGTTCTGATGAGCATTACCGGCCCTTCTTTGTGTACTGTATATACATGCACGGCCTTTATCTAAAAGAAAACGAATTCGTAAATGATACTGATTGACAATATCGAAATCAAGACTCGCATAACAAAAAGCCAGACAGCAAGTATTGATATTCGATATGAGTCGTTCAAAGAATGAGTCTGCAAAACTTGAATTGAAATGATATAACTGAATTATCTCTGGTGCTGTACTCCTTCGAATAAATTCAAGTGGAACGTGTTTGAATCAGTTAAACTTTGAAGGCGTTGTGTTCCGAAGTTAGACTAAGATTCTGGATTAATACAATTAGAATTTACCAATAAATACATAAATTATTCAGACTTTTGTTAATTTTGTTGCTAAAGCCAAAAATGTTACATGTAATACAGTATAACCATCAGACTTCCTATCTTTTTCCAGCATTAGTAGATCCGTAGGAGTGTAATCTAAGATTCCGTAACACAAATGTATTTATGTGGACTATTTTTAATTTTGTTGTTGAAGCTAACTAATAAGATTGAACATATATATAATATTGATTTTTTACGGCGAGTGACATAACCAGCATTGAATTAGTAACAATGAATGAATACAAATTTAGAAAGAATACATCAATTGATGATAGCGATCGACGTAAACAAGGTCAAAGTTCGTGTACCTTGTAAAATTGCGAGAGTTGGATTACACCTAAACATGAATAAAAATGCATTTTATTGAAAGTTTACAGTTAAGATTGAGATAAAATTGACGGATGTGCCAAAGTATGTCAAGTTGTTAACAAATATGGTAGTTAACTTAGCAAGGAATCCACCACAAAAATTTCAAGGAATCACTTGAACTTGATTTTGAATATCAATTTAGGTTAAATATTTATAGTTTTTATATAAACCACTTCCAGATGTCAAAAGGTATTTCACCACATTTGAAACAAGGTAAAGATATATATAAGTTTATACCAAACGTATATAGTCAAGAATATGTATTTTTTTCGTAGCTCGAAACACCAGCCGGACCGGCTATAGCTGTTACGGTATCAATTGGAAATTAAAAATTTCAGACCTCCCCCCTCACATCGAAATTTCCTGCTTATGCCCATGATGTCACGTGCTACCAAACACCCAATTTTATTTTCACTTCCAGGCGATGTTTTCCCCAAGAAAACAAAAGGTACACTTCGGCTTTACAGCATACAGTATTGCCCATACGCAATGAGAGCTCGTTTGATGCTAGCAAAGAAAAATGTCGAGTGAGTTGTTCGGAATCTTTTTATGAAAGTCAAATGAAAGATGCACGTTTTGTCAGTAGAACAATGAACATATATCTGACATATTTATTTTATTTATTGTCGGAAATGGCCGATTTTGCAACTGCTTGATCGTGGTCCATGTACTTCTTACCGCACGCGTTTTTTAGATTTAAGACAAATTATTGTGTTCAATTCATCAATATGGTTGAATATATATGAATAATATGAATATACCTTATTCAGACATGAAGTTATTAATATTCTTCTCCGAAATAAGCCAACATGGTTTCTGGAAAAGTATCCAGTCGGAACGGTTCCAGTGATCGAAAAAGATGACAGACTTCTTGGAGGATCGCTCGTAATTGCAGAATTCATAGATGAAGTTTATTCAAAACCAGGTCAGCGACTGCTTCCTACGAAAAAGCAAGGATAAAAATGCTCATTGACGATACATTCTCATAGGCATGTGTACTATAGTGGTTAGAAAACGACAAATCATCATTGTGTTACCTCGACGCACAATACTGCCGTATTGTGTTGAATTAAACGTATTATTTACTGCAGAATTATAGGCAGTAACAAACAGTTTGAAAAAGAATTTCATTCTATTAAGCGGACACGTCATACGCTACGAAGTATTATAATTTACTACGATAAAAACTAAAAATAAGGTTGAGCCACAAATAAAATTTAGAAATGAATACACGCCTCGAGCTATATGAAATATGATTACATTGTTATTAACAACAACAATCGTACATAAAATGCATTATACAACTAGCTTAGTTAGACTTTATTCAATGAATGAAATAACTGGATTGTTTGTTTAAATTTAATAACATAGAAGAAAAGCTGTAAAATGTTTGAGATGTAAAATATCGCTGAGCAAAAATTGTAATGACAGGTCTTACAAGATTAATTTGTTTTTAAGGATGAGACCAAGAATGAGCATAGTGATGTTTATGATAGACGTTCGTTAGCTTCATTGGTATTCGAACGCACCAAGAAGGAAATATTTTTTCCGAACCAAGAAGGAACGAACAAGAATAATTTGTTTTTAAGGATGAGACCAAGAATGAGCATAGTGATGTTCATGATAGACGTTCGTTAGCTTCATAGGTTTTGGAACGAACCAAGAAGGAATTTCGTTCAATCATTTTGGGATGTTTCATTCATTCAAAATGACATTTTTCAAAAACATTCAGTCAATTTGAAATACGTGACTGCTTAAAAGCGGTTGTGCTTAATTTTGCTTACAAATATCTTGAGACAGCAAACTTGCAACTCTAAACACTCTTGTTGTCATTTTGATCTTTCACGGAGGCATGATCTTGGCGATGACTGGTAAAACGGAGTTCATTTTGTTTTGTAATCCCGATATCAATCATAAAACATGTAATGCAGAACTCGTTGTATTTTGAGATAACAACAGACAAAATTATTGAACTGCCAATATGACAAAATTCTTCATCCTTGCTACAAAAAGCCTACATTTTGCCACTTGTACTTGAAGTGGTATTCGCTTAACGCGACGGTAAGTGATTATTTGTATGAAAAAATTAACACAACAAAAACCTTTTGATACAAAATAACGAATTTCCTAAATTTTTATATCATATTATTATTTTTATAAATAGTTCAATTCTATTACATATTAACTTAGTGTTCCCAGACTCGGAATATGAATTTTTGTGCTCATGCCCGACTATTGTTCCTGCTGGTAATTTCATTACTGATGCTGCTGCAAGCTATAGATTTGGTTGCATGTCATGAAGGAAGAAGAGGAGAAGGAGCAGCAAGTAAGTATAGAGTTAATCTTTAAGTTATGGTATTGAAATCTATGTCAAATTCAACTTGATTGTAAATAGTATGTCAAAGGAAAAGCTTTAAAAACGTTCCAGCAACGCGACATAAGAAAGATATAAAAGAAGAAATTGAAATCATTTCAAATTTACGACTGGGGGGATGTTTATGTTGTTGCCCGAGTTCAAATATTTGTTGGCCAGACAGTAAATTGAGGCCCACTTGAATATCATTAAAATTGGATCTCACGTTTTGCCAACCCTAACAAAAACTTCCTATAAACTCTTGATACAATTTTATTTTTATTTTTAGAAAGATTCGTGGAACAATTGGAGCAATATCCCAAAGAATAATGAGGTGATCCTATATTTCAAAACTCCATTTTTCTATATTTTTGGCCAGCGGAAGCAAATGCATATTTGCTTAATAATTTTTTTATTTCATCACAGGTTTTCTGCACAAAGCTCAGAATATACATGGATATATATTGTGTATAACATTATTCGAAATGTATCTGATGAGCAATAAATAAAAGCAGTATCGAAATAAATTGACTTATGATTTTTATCAATATGGGTAGTTTCAAATTTATACATAGAAAACAGACATTGAAATATCATCCACTCTAGTGTCAATCAACAAGTTGCGCGTTTGTGGGGAGATTTTGAGCTTGACCACGTCGGAACCTAATGACATTGTTAAAGTTAATAAAACCTGCATTGAAAAAAATCAATTTGTCCCTGCGATTCATATACTCCTGTGTCAATCAGAAAGTTTTGTTTTGTTGAAAAGCTTTCGCGTGTGATTATTTTTTTAGGTAAAAAAAAACAGGTTAAAAATCTATGAGGCTGATATTCAATATGTTAGATCTTAAATATTTCTGTTTCGATATAGATGTAGAGTGTAAGAACAAGAAAAGAGTGACTGAAAATTGAAATACGTATTAGACATGGTAGTGGAGTAGTGGAGTGCCAAGTGGCTTGTAAATCTTCAGATCTCGTAAATTATTTAGTTCCATCGCAACTAGTAATTAATATAATGTATTGTCGACTTGAAATATGAATTCTGAAAAACATGTCGATCTGTTGTTTCTGTGGATAATTTCAATTCTGATGTTGTGGCAAGTTAATGACGTCGTGTTCACCGTTGAGGATTGAGTAGGTTAAATTGATCCAATGCTGCAACAAGAAAGCAAGATATGATAGAAGAATGTTTAAACCAGCAACGTCACATGAGAATGAAATAAAGAATCAGGATAGAAATTATTTTCGAATTTATATGGATGCTGGGTGGATAAATTATTGCCCTGGTTTAAATCCTTAGTCGCACACGGATTCCAATCCCTACTCAATCAAGATTCAACAAATTATATGGGCAATTATCGAATATCAATAAATGTTTGGATAAAAAAAATTCTGGTCGACAGGATGGAAACACTGAATTAAATGTTGTTAATTGTGTGTTTTAGTTGAAATCGAACAACAGTTTGTGTTGAATGAACATTGAGAAAAAACTGTCGACAAATAGGGAGACGAAAACTTTTCAGTTTAGGTGTATGAAAGCGGCACCAAATGTATATATTCAATCAGCGTCTTATCATTAAAATGGCAAACGTTGTTTAATAATTTTAAATTGAAACATGGGAACCTATAGGTTTAAGGAATTAAGGCAAAGGGTAAATTATTTTTTTCATCCTTGCCTGTTTTTTTTTCTTTGAAGTGCTGAAAAAATCACTCATGCTGGTTGAACTCGATCCAGCAGATAAATAAACTGCAGCTCACGAAATTACAGCAAGTAGTGTCGACCTCTATTGTTACGTAACAATAGAGGCGGACGCAACATAACAGAAAGTATGCGAAATAGCAAATAAAATGAATTTATTGATTAATGTACACAGATTATGATTAACCTATGGGCAAACATATGAGAGAGAAAGGGCAGAATGCACCAAAACGAAAAGAAGAGAAAAGGTTATATCTCGAAAATTAAAAAATAAAAAAGAATGAGAAGGAGAGAATACGTGGTTTATGAGAAACGAGAGACCAGTATATCGTTATTTTTGTTACCAACCATTTGAAGTACACGCCCGGCAGTGGAATAAATTTTGAATTCGCCGTTTTTGCAATGCTTCATTTTTGTTCAAAGCGGAGAATTCTTGAATACTTCAGACTACTTTTTTTTCGAATATACTTCTGTCATGTCAATTTTAATGGCAAAATTATACTTCAGAAAAACGTTAATTAAGCGAGATGCTCGGTTCGTGCATTTTTAAATTAAATTCGGATAAAAGGCAATGTAAATGTGGGCAGTTGGTATTTTGAACGGTATCTAGTCATTTGAAACCAGATATAAAGTGATAAGAAACAAAGAGGGTTCCTGGTCAGATAACAGTCTCCTGATGAGCGTTAATTAGTTTGAATGCATGAGCAAATATCTCGCCGTATTTGAAACTTCATATTAAATGTTGAGGACAATGTTTGTAAAAATGAAAAAAATGATATATATATTCGTTAATAGGTCTATGTGAATATTGCGGTCTCAAAAACTCTAATTTAACATGATCACTGCACATGGTAGAAAAATTTTAAATATGAAATGAATGAAACTTTGTTCATGAACTTGAGGTATTGATTTTGAATCTAGACGTGACAACTTCCTGTGGACGAAATGATGCCTCTTTTCAATCATGATTATCGCCGTGTATATGAGAAGGTGCCTAAGGGCATGTAATTATTAATCTAGGGTCAAGTCATGACATAGGGTCAATGAAGTAGGCAAATCACGATGGATTTTAAGTATTCCAAGTTGATACAATCACAAAAACATCCCTGTTATTTTAGTTCCCCTATGACAATTTGGTTAAAAGAGTTTGAACGGTATAATGGAAGTAAATATCTAAGAGAGAAATCGCAGAAAACACAAAGCAAAAAAAGTTTTAGCTTTAAAACGAAATAGAAAGAGAGAGAAGTGGATAGTGTTACTCGAGAAACGAGAGAACCTATACAGTGTAAGTAATGTTTGTTGTTATCACCTAAGATGTAAAGCGCCCGCACGATCTATCAAGCTGGAAAACAATGTCAAAATTTAGTGTTTTGCATTCATTTGGAACATTCGGCGTATTTTGAATACGTCAAATTTTTTTGGCTTCGATAATCGGAATTTCCGACTGAAAACAAAAATTCAAACACCGAATGTAGGAATTTTCACGCGAACTAAAAATCTTATCTGGCTGACTAATCCCACGTAAATAATGGACGATTTCTTCAGCCTTTTTACAAAGAAAAGGTTCTAAAAAAATATTTTAAATATATAATCTATAAACTATACAACAATAAGAGGCAATAAAAATATGATACGTGCTCACTAGTTTTCGCTGTACAGGGTATAATACTGCTACAAGTAACTGTTCTGCAAATGCATTTTCAGTCTTTATCTATGCCGTTACAGAAATATTTCAAACACCACACCACAGCAGTGCCGGACTCCGTCGGTATGTCTCTAATTACTGAAAGATTGTGAAAATTTAATATATAAGTCAACTGATGGAGGGGACAATTTTAGGGATTTTTAGATTACAATGTATATGTATGTCTGTATATTACAATAACCAACATTCTAATCTCAAATAATAACAGGGCTACAAAATGACAGAGCTATGCTCAAATATATGGACACTTAGAATAAAACGAAATATATTATCATCACTTCACCGAAAACCATAGGGTACCCTACGCCTTCGGTACGGTATCCTGCAAGAATCTGAACAGTGAAACAGCTACATGGTTAAGGTCAGTGGTCGGCAACCTTTTTTCGGTGACGGATTGATAAAGCCTGACCAAAATTTTGGCGGACCACCATGTACAGACGGAATGCTGATGAAATAAATTATATGTGTTAGAATAAATAGGTTGATATTGAATTCAGAGAATAGAGGTGATGTTATTCAAGTAATGTGTTTTCTTACGTTCAGCCTACTGCGATTTTGTAGTTGTCAATTTTAAAAACCCGGCTTCACATAGATGTAAAAATGCCTGTAAAGCTTTTTTGCAATGCCGGGGTATTCAGTTAGTAGTATTGCCCAAAAGACTGCCGAAGTACCCTATAAATCGCAAAGACTCTTTTCAACTAATTATTGTTTGAGTTGTTAATCAAATAAACATGTTATTAGGACATTGTCCGTCTTTTGTGTCACGTTTCTGCGGACCGGTAGTGACCTTTCCGCGGACCGGCGATGGGCCCCGGCCCGGTGGTTGCCGACCACTAGTTAAGGTAACTGACTTACTAGTACATGGGTACAAATAACGGTACACGGACTGTCTTCCATGTCCTGTGGTAATGATCTATTCTTCTCCATCCAATTTCAACGTGAATTTAAATACCAAGTGATCTGAGTCACTTCTCCATTACGGTACCAGGCCAAAAAAGGAAGAAAATATCGATTCCCCGATAATCTTACCAGTATCTGATATTCGTTCGCGGAACGGTTCTTCCTTGTCATATAAGAACTCAATTCATTTCCTCTTAACACATGAAAAAAAATAGGCTACAAAATTTATGTTGTTTACATAGAAACTGCAACGAAAATACGAGAGCGTAATTCACAGAGGTACCGTACGATACCTTACCAGTACAAGTTGCTGTACTGTAGGCCTGCTATTTGATCGTAGAACGGTTCTTCTCTGGCATATAAAAACTCAATCCAATTTGCTCTTATCAAAATTAACAAATTTTAGTTTAGGTAGGCTAGATTTGCTAGAAAACTTACATTTGACATTACTGCAATAGTAAGATCACAAATAGAATATGTCAATTCCACTGTGGTACGGTAACTGAGCAATACCTTACCTGCAGGCTCGCTCACGCAACCGCTTGAAATAAGTTTCAAAACAGTGTTCCCGTGAGTAAATTTTAGAACAGCGAAATTTGAATGAAATATCAGATCTCATAGGATTCATAGGAAATTTAGGAATAAATAAAAGTAATAGCCTTCTGAAAAAAAAAATCAAACTTTGACCACCAAAAAGTGTCTAAAAATGATTGCTCGCGCATGAAAGTGAACTGTCACTTTTGAGGGCAAAGAAAATATAAACTGCATGCAAAATCTTCCAAGATGAAATAAAACATTTCATCACAAAAGTTACTTCCCGAACTTTCACAGAAGAAAAATTAACTCTTCATTCTATTGGTTAAGCTGAGCGCATTGAAAATTACATGCAAAGGGAGATTGTATTTTGTTTATTATTTAGATAATAGGAGTTGATGTTCCTGCAGCCCTATTTCATAGATTTTTAAATCATCAACCCGATGGAGGCTCTGTGCTGCTGGAATCTTTTGAATTTGAAAAAATCAAAAAATTCTTTTTTGAACAGGTTTAGAAAATTGTTGCGAGCGGACATAGTACATATTTTTCGTGCCATTTCAATTATTTAGTTACATTTTATTTTTTTAAATACTATTTCACAGGACTGGTGATACTGTGCACGACCCAGAACTGATACTATGATTGGAACAAGAATATCTGAAGGGTTTGGAGGCAGACATGCATCATTTCGTCACAGGAAGCTGAGACGTTCAATTTCAAATTCAATATTTTGATTTCTCAGGAAGAGAATTACAAATTATTCCAATGTTTTCTTTGCCGTGGCTTGCAATGGCTTGATCATAAAAAAGAATGTGATGTATAAATTATTCTTGTTTATACAGAATGGACAGAATGTGTTGCAATTCTGTTTGATTTTTACAACTTTGCTCTGAACAAGGCACCCAGATAAGAATTTACAATCAGCAATTTTGTCCAATTGTACTGATTTTTATGGTGTTATCAGTGTCCCATTCAGATCTACTGAACGCCTGCAAATATTTCAAATTCTTTCACTTTAGATTTATTATATTCTTATAATTTATTTAGTTTCAACACTAATAAAAATTAGTTTAGTATAGCACAGCTGCAAAATAAGAATTTTGGTGTTGATGCACGACTATTGATCTTGCTGTTAATGATGCTGTTACTCATGCTGTTGTGAACTGTAGATATGGTTGAATGCCAACATGGAGTAGCCTAGTGGAAGAAGCGAGTAAGTAGCGTTATTGCTGAATCAGCTTGACTGTAAATAAGATTGTCTAAAGTAATCTTTGGTTATTACCAAGCACGCAATATAAACTATACATATAAATATGTGATATAGAATATGACCTGTGCACAATAGTTGGGCAATGATATAATACTGATACACGTAACTGGGCTCAGAACGTTTTGGGAGTCTGATGTCTCTAAAGAAAGGGTAGAGGAAATAAGGATGCGATATTGGAGGCCATTGGAAGCTATGGACGTTTGGAATATATTGAAATTCTAGAGTAGGGGGTGAACCCAAAGTTAAAACGACTAGAACAATGAAAGTTTTAGTAATACTTTGGTTGGTGTCAATTAACAGTAAGATGATTCAATACGAGACTGTAATGTAAAATTTTCAAAGCTTCTATATCACCATGGAATGTTGAAACTTACTTACTTTAATTATTTTTCATATCGAAAAATATATAGACTACATGTGTGTACGATTCTTTAGCCAATTTTTAAATCCTACTTAGTGACATGGGTACAATACGCAGTATGTCAAACCACAAAAAGTCTAACGGATGGTTTGTGCATGGAAGTGAACTGTCATATTTGTGCGCAAAGAAAATATACAGAGCACGCACAGTCTTCCAAGAGCAGACAGACAACATTTCGTCACAGGAAGTTATGTCTGGAACTCCCAAAAGAAGAATTTATTCTGCATTCTACTGTTTTAGATTGAGCTGAGCGCAGTAAATATTTGATGAGAGAGTGCATTGTATAATATTCAATATTTCCATAATATGTGTTTGTGTACGTACTGCCTTACTTGATAGGATTTTACATCATCATTCTTATGAAGGCTCTGTGCTGTTAATTTTTTGCTTTGGAATTTTTTGAATTTGAAAAGCAAACTTTTTTTGAAGATGTGAAGTTATATGGACGAACAATGTATACAAAATATTTAAAAAAGTTTTGCCCGATTTTTTAATTATAACACTTGCAAGTGTAAATAAATTTTATTGTATGTGAATGAGAACAGTTATAAAATCGGGCGAAATTTTTTAGACACCGTATATATTTTTTTGTCTCCTCAGTTACAGTTTATTATTCGAAATATCATTTTACTTCAAGTGTCTAAAAATATATTGGATGGCTAGATTAAAATAGGACTGGTGATATTGTGCAAGACTATGAACTTTTATTATGCTTGGAACAAATGTAACTGACAGGTTCAGACAAGGCACTCAACAAAGATTTACAATAAGCAGTTTTTTCCATCGTACTGGTTTTACTATTTTATTCTGTTATCAGTGTCTTAGCCAGATCTATAGAAATAATGAATTATTTTAAATTCTTTCTTTTAAGATTTATTATTCTTATTATTTGGATTTCATCACTATTAAAAATTAATTTAGTATAGTAAACACGCAAAATATGCATTTTGGTACTAATGCCCGACTATTGTTCTTGTGTGTAATTTCATTACTGATGTTTCAAGCTATGGATATGGTAGCTTGCCAAAGACCAAGAGAAGGAAGTAAATATTTTATGCTAAATATGTGTAATTGAAAGATATGTCAACTTTGCTTGGCTGTGAATAGTGTGCGATAGGAAAAGTTTCAATAACGCCAGAAAGGTATAAAAGATGAAACTGAAATCATTCCAAATTTATGAGTAGGTGGATAGATATATTGTTGCCCGAGTTCAAATCATTGTGAGTCGGACGATGGATAGATACAAGCTAGCTATTCATTCATTACCTTTATTGGACAGTTTATATTGCATAATCTCATTGGTAATTTTGTTGATTCAGATGGATTCGAGGAGCAGTTGGAGATTAAGGAATATTGGGATAAACTTCTCAAAAAATAATGAGGTGATGTAAATTTTAAATCGTCTATTTTGGTGTATGCAACTGATACTAAATAAGCATTTATCTACATTTATTTTCAGACGTTTACCGCGGAATTTCAACATATAGGAAATCCTACTATATTCAATGCTATTCATATTATATAAATTAGGCTTATATATGTCTACATTATATCTTATAAAAATAAAGCTTAAAAATAAAACTGAATTTCAATAAATGAACTTATGATTTGTATAAATATGGGAACTTCAATAGTCTTTTGTCACTCAAAATGCGCATATGTGAGAAGTGTTCTAGTCTGATCAAGTCTCAGCATATTACATGAAATATTAGAAGGTTTTATAGTTTGTTGAAGTTAGTTTAGAATGAAAACCATTCGACTTGGGCGCCCTGCCTACAGATCCATACACTGTCCATATTCGTGATAATTCACCAGGTTTATTCAATACGTAAGCAAGCAAGCGGATATAATAGCCAAGAATCGCGCAAAAGTTACAATAACCTAATAAACTGAATGAAACCGGTTTATAATTACCTCAGATAGTTATGCTAAAGGCGCTATCGTTCATATTTGATTTAATTCGTGAATTTAATCAGGGTCTGACCGTTCAAATGACGATAAATCCCAAGCATTTAACAATACAATCACAAAACCATACATGGTATTTGATTTCCCATGTGGGTATATAGTTTGGAGGGTGTGATGGAATTAAATAAACATTTGAGAGAGAAATCGCGGGAAACACGAATTGAAAAGAAGAGAAAAAGTTTCAGCCATAAAAAAATAGAAAGAGAGAGAAAAGAACATTAAACAAAAGGAATGAGAAGTGGAACTCGAAAAACGAGAGAACCTAAAGTCCTAAACACTGTATGCAATGCGAGTTGGTATTACCCATTCAAGATGTAAAACGCGCACGACCTTTCAAACTGAAAATATTGTCAGTCTTTTTTCATTTTTGTTGGAACATTTGACATATTTTTGTTTCAGTTGAATTTTTCGGAATTCATCACTGAATGTGGGCATTTGCAAGCGAACTAAAGAAATGTAACATGCTAACTAATTCCACGGGAATGATGGAAAGAATCAGTACAAGTAGGGAAAACTGTTCGTTATGAGGTCTTTGATAGATACCTTCTTCAGACAATGTTGTAAACTCAGGAAATGACACGTTCGTTGATTGAGTGGATAATGTCTCCCAAATAACTCCAATTCTCATGATCACTCCACATTGTAGAAAGCTAAACAATAACCAACATAAGTGTACTTTAATTTATTACGGGGCATGTAATAAATGAAATTTATAAATCGTCGAGATGGTTTAATTTGCTTGAGGATGTGAAATAGATATATGGAAGCTTTGAAATAACGATGCCTTATTGAAGCAGAAAATCGAACGTTAAACACTAAAATGTAACAAACAATATCAAGAAAATACGCCCCAAGCTAAAATGAAATAATGATTCCCTAATAAACAAGGTAAAATCTCTTTATAGAAGCTCCTGATTTTCATATAAAATGGTTTGTGAATAAATACGACTTTTCTTCATAATAGAATCAACTTATTTTACTTTATTGTTATTATATTCTGATAATTTATATTATTTTTATCAATACAATATATTAAGTTAGCGTTTCGTAACTTCGGAATATGAATGCAGGAGCAAATGCCATACTTTTACTGTACTTTTTGCTGATAATTTCAATGCTGATATTATAACATGTAATGTATCGTTCATTTTTTGTGATGACAATAGACAGAATTGTATTTCCATAATTTGTTCAGTTCTGTCATTACTAGATATTGATTTCTTTGCATACAGTTGTGAGGATGACTATAAGCCTAAGTTTGAAGTTTCTCGTAAATGTGTATATGTCTGGTGGTGTGAAATAAATATTTTGGAGTTTTAAAACAACAACCCATTGTTTGAAGCAGAAACTCGAAACGTTAAACTCGAGAATGTTTCAAACAATAATAAAAAAAATACACCTCGATCTACGATAAATAAGGATTCGCTAATACACAAATAAAAATGACGCAGGGCTAATAACACCAGCCAACACGCTCAAGCTATAATATAACATTACATTACTGGATATTAATTTCTTTGCATACAGTTGTGGGCTTGACTGTAAGCCAAAGTTTGCAGTTTCCCACTGAAAAGGGATATTAAGAATAAAATACTCATAGAATAGCCTCAAACAAAAATTGTATTCTGTAAAACGAGCCGTGGGCTCTTTTTGTTTGTTTGGAGTTATGAAAGAGAAATATGAAAATTTTGTTGAGATCAGAATTTTCTGAAAAAAAACAAACAAGTATTATGATTTGTTTGAAGCTAAATAGTGGCTCCTAAAATGTAATAAATCATATTAAGCGGGCACGTCTCAAGCTACGAAGTTTATATTTACTACGAAAAAACAAAAACAAAATGGACGCTAAACCAAAAATAAAATTCATAGTTGAAATTTTGAACGTACAAGCTATGAAATATGATTACCTCGTTGATTACACCAATACATTAGATGCTTTATACCAGGGGTGCACAACACGGGGCACGCGCGCCAAATTTGGCACGCCATACGCTCAAACGTGGCACGCGAATTGTTTTGTAAAAAAATATATTTATTATATACATTAAAATATAACCATCTTGGCCCTTGTGTCGCCTAATAGCTGGAAGGCGGAAGCCTTATTAAAACGAAAAATATAGAAAAATTCGAGAAAACAAATTGAATAAAAAGAAAAGAAGATATGGTATCTGAAAAATAGAGGAAAATACACTCTAAGAGTCTAAGCTATTTTGTTACAACGGTTTGAAGTATACAAACGAGTTTTTACGCAAGAAAATAAATTTGAAATATAGGGATTTCGCATTTTTGTTGGAACATGAGACGTATTTTAATTATTCAAAGGACTCAAGTTTCGGCAAAGAATCTCCGGACACTATATGTTGACCATAGTTGGAATTTCAAAACGAAACAGAAAATTGCTAGCGATTTAGGACTTTATTAACAGACCTACCTAATAAACTTAAAATAAACTAATCGTACCATCCAATCGACCAATTATTAAGACGTTGCAACGAGTTTAATCATTTTTCTGGCGTCGGCACGGTTAGAGGGTCGATAAACAAGCACCAGGGGTTTCGCTGTGCGCCTCGTATTATTTTGTTTTAGATTTACTAATTCGTACCGAATCATGGAGTAAATGTCGTTATACCGAAAAGCAGTAATGTATTTTAAAATTGTTATCTTTTTTTCTTCTAGGCAATCACATTGATTTACCAAGCTCTCGGAAAAAGAGAAAACTGGGAAGAAAGCTTTTACCCGCGCATTGGTGAGCTGGAAAAAGTTCTTGAAGCTAACAAATATTTTGGTGGAGTAGAAGATGGATCTGCCGATTACATGATCTATCCATGGCTCAGACTTTTTGGTAAGTTATTAATAGCAATCAATACTTCGAAGACGAAGGCTTAGTATGCTGGTCTGTCATACAGACGACTGATAGTTTGCTGCAGAATATTTCATGTCATACGCCAAATGCCCCAAAACAAATCTTATTGGCTTCAGCAATACGCCGTTTTTAGATCTGATCACTCATGCTTCACAGAAACGAATCACGGATTCATCAATATAATAATGAAAAAGTTTGATGTTATAATTAAAACAATATACGTTTCTTGCTATTCCCAGGTCCTCACGGTATCGACAACGTTTTATCTGCTGGAAAATTTCCGAAATTGGGACAATGGTTAAAAGAAGTTGCTCAAGATGAAACAATTAAGAAATGTGATACCAAGCCAGAAATCATTAGCAAATTTTTGAATGGTTACGCGACCGGGAATTATGTTTATGATCTAGAAATCTAACCAAAATCTTACATTTAGTTCCTGAATTAGTTTATATCCTTTTTCTCAGGAAGTGTTTTCACTCAAATGCATTCAGATCTTTATTTAAAAAGTAACATGATGTTGATTATGCATGCATATTTTTATATGATATATGAAAAATAAACAACACCACCTATTAACGGTCGTTGCATAACTTGATTTTCACTGTATTTATGCACGACGGAAAGGGAGACATAGTTCAAAAGGGATTGAGACCAAATATGGATCCCTATTCTTGACTATGCTGTTGTCTTGGTCACTAAAATTGCCGAGAATAGAGACACATCTGTTGGATATTTAAATCCGATACAAGTTTATCAGAAATATACATAAAATGGTAAAGTGAAAAAAGAGGGTTACGACTTACGAGGCTAGCTAGGTTCTGACTGCTAACATCAGTTCTAGTTATATATAATTATCTAGAACGGAACTATTTCATTTTTTATGCTGGATCAACATTATCAGTAAATTTCCCACTTCATGCGCTGAAGCTGTACCTTATACTCCTAGTCAGCTGTTTTGAAGTGTATCAGCTGACCCATTTTGACGACTGCATACATAACACACGCCAATCTTTCCAACAGTGTACATGATTGGAGAAATCGTTAATCTGGGTGTAGTTTCACAAGTATGAATTGAAATTGAGCTTTAAGTGGGTGTTTAAATACAACTTGTGTCGGGTACAAGAGTAAAATACAGTAAATGATATTTAAATTGAATTTAACTGAACGACAGAACAAAAAAACTGAATCTGCAATTTTCAGATCAGCAGTTCCCAAACTTTTTAATATCGTTACCCCTAAATCGAATCACTAAAAGCTTAAACCTTTTCATAAAAATACATTGGTCATATCGGCTTCACATTTTCTCTGACCAAAAATGGCGATAATACTAAGGCCCATTGCATCTTCCGATCCTAGTTTAAGATGTTAATCTTACTCTAGCTCAGCATTTTAGCTACAATCTGTACGGCAAAGTATTGTTATTTTGTCCGTATGACAAGAATCATTGACTAGATGCGAGCATTTAATGTCCAGATTTTCCTCAGAGGACTAGTCAAAAGTACAGAGATTACAAAAGAATTTGTCAAAACAGTCTGGATTACCCCATTAATATTGCCTAATTACCCCACAACACCGTTTGAGATGATAAAACAGCGTATTCTGAAGAGCATTACCGTCCCTTCTTTGGTTATATATACATGCACGGCCTTTATCTGACAAGAAACGAATTCGTAAATGATACTGATTGACAATATCGTAATCAAGACTCGCTTAATAGAAAGCCAGACCTCAGATGTTGATATTCGATATGGGTCGTTTAAAGAATGAGTC